ATGAAGGTCCCCTCTGTTTCCGGGTTCGATGTTCGCATCGAGAAGCGGAGTGTATCCTTTGAAGTTGGCGACGGTCTTGTGGTTAAGCTATACAAAGACTCATTAACGACTCTGAACACAGGGGAAAGCTCGCATGATCGACACCTTCAGCTTTTCCTCCGTTGGAAGGCTGAAGTACTCCTTGTTGACCTTGAGGATATTGTCTACGCATTCTAGTGGTATCCCGTGGTTCTTGACTGCTCGTGCATGTAAAGTGACCGTGACATCGCAGAAAATGTTTCTACGAGTCTACAGAAGGCTTACCGTAGAAGAACCCTACATTCATGCATGCATCACGTATCTGATAGGCAAGTGCTTTCCTCTCGCTCTCGTCTGGACTCGTTGCACCAGAAAGATCGCTGCAGTGAAGTCAGCGAGTTGTGTTTGGCAAGTGAACTTAGCCAGCAAACAGACATTACGGGTATGTCTTGAAAAGCACCATTGATGACGGACGCCGACTCTGCTAAAGACATGATTGTCGATGAGGAAGATCCGGAAGGAAGAAATGATGGGAAGTGCTGTTTCCCCACATGAATTAGTTCCGTACGTATAAATCAGATAAGATAACTCGAATACTCAAAATTCAATATTGGTACTAGCACATATGTATGATCCACCGAAGTTCACCCGTAATATTGCTCCTACATAGCAACTACGATTTATTATACATGGCTTTCAATCGTTGCCTCACATACTCTCCGGCGGTGATAGCCGGATATTTTGCTGGGTTTTCAGCTGACACGCAGGTGTAGATTGGCTGCAATGAAGCAAATCAGATCCATCAGATAGTTAGTGAAACAAAATTTAGATGACTAGCCTCGATGTTAACCTCGTAGTCAGTGCCAAAGAATAACGCAATAGAGTACCGATCGACAATATTCTTGTTGGAGGCTCGATGCACAGTAGACTTGAAAACATCGTCTGTACAACGTGGTCAACATCTTGTGTACATCGTCACAAGACAGTGGCGTCTACGCACTTGTCCAACGCGCAAACTGATCTCCAAGACTTATATATAGTCGAGTGTTAGTTAGAATACAACTATATGGCAAGCACGTAAAATATCCGTACTTGATAACGAGGGTTCCTGGCAGTGGCGGTACATTGATCCATTGTTCACGAGAGTTCAAAACTTGGAGCGCCTCGATGCCTGCTTGTTGCCAGAGAATCGTGAAACACTGCCCATGATTAAAAGTCATTGGGAGTTCAGACATTCGGACTCACCACAAAACTAATACACCCCAACAGCGTCAAGATTACGCATCGACAGTATAGCTTCGAAATAACTCACTCGGTATGAGCTCCGATTCCCAGTATCTTCTCGTCTGGGGCATTTGGCTGAGGCGGATAATGGAGGGTGCGCATGGTAGCGGCGGAATACATGGTCTGTTCAATTTATGACATGTGCTAACCACGCCGTGCCGTCCAGGTACGTACCTTGTCATTGAAGTATGTTTCGGGCAGATCGAGCGCCAGTGCAAAGAGGCAAAACAGCTTCTTTCCAACGGCAAGTGCAGCGTGACTGCAGGTGCATCGTGAGTTTCTGATGTTTCGAAAAACGATCATCAACTTGACTAATAATCCATGCAGGCGACTCTAAAATTCTCAGGTTTATCCGGCCAGACATTCGCGCCTGCCATCACTCCATCGCAAGAAGCACTTTGGGTCACTGGATCCTCGGATTTTTCTTCCCAGCCGATGCGGAAACCCTCATGTAAGTCACCTTTGTTCCCTGGTTGGATGTTTGCTTCCATCGGAGGGCTGTAGCCTTTGAAATTCGGTACAGTTTTATGATGGAGCTAGTCGTGGATGCTAAATGTCGTTAGTCAAGTGCAGCATTCAGATGAACGCACTTTCATCTTTTCATCATCTGGAAGCGAGTAGTATTCCTTGTTTACTTTCAGGACTTCGTCAAGAAAGTCCTGAGTTATGCCATGGTTCTTGACTGGGGATATCAATTGTCATGAGGTGTGAAACGGGCAGATATCGATACCAGGCTGTGCGTACCATAGAAAAATCCAACGTTCATACAGGCCATTCGAATTTGTTGTGCCAGGACACGTCGTGAAGCTTCATCTTCACTAAATGCACTTTCCAGATCGCTGATCAAAGCATCGTCAAATTTGCAAAGAAATCCGGAAGTGATCGTACATGATTGGAACGTTTTCGAATGCCCCATCTACAGGCGCGCAAGACATGGTCCAGAATTAGGATAGCTCTTGGCCGCAGTACTCGCCATTTGCATGGTACTTACATAGCTAAGCTTGCTGAAGATGGCTTAGCAAGACTGAACAACGATTACGTAACTGCATAATATGTTGCCAGAAATTTCTGTCCCTTTGCCCACCAAGCCTGATGATCTGGCAGCACTCACCCGCGTTACAAACGTCCTGTTCTATGACCTCCTTGCTTTTTGAAATTACGAATGTCTTACGCTGAACGCTCGCTGGTTGGCTCCGTGTTTGAACGCAAGACGTCTACAGTCCAAAGTGTACCCTCTCCGAGATTCGCAAATACTCCTGGCTCGGGTTTTCCAGCTGTTCAGCACAGGTCAAAGAGCGCCTTTGCTCGCGCAAGAGAAGAGGAAAAGAGCAGTAGTAATATCAGGCCAACAACTGTACCTCTCGTCCTACCCGCGCGTCCCGCAGAACAACTTCGAGACCTTGAGGTAGATTTACCCACCACTGACGATGTTATGCGTCTGCAGATTAGTGAGGACAACGAGCGCCAAGTGGAAAATATGACTGAAGAGGAGCGAGAACAAGAGAGGCGTGAGGTTGTAGAACAACTGGGAAGTGGTGTCGGTGACCTTTTGGAGCGTGTACGTGCTGCAAGATCACGAAAAGCAACGAAGGCTCCCACTATAGCTGAGGATAATCCTGTACAAAAGGAAGAGGCCCCGGAGGTCTCCCGCGAAATTCCAATCGTTTCTCCGCTACTAGGCCTCGCTACTAGGCGTAATCTTTCGAGGGTCAAGAGCCTGGAAGATTTCGGGAAAAGAGGCACGTCTCTCCTCGGGTATGATGGGTATTTTAACACAAAGGCTGCATATTAGCTCCCCCGATTTTGGTGACCAGCAGTACTAGACCTTCGTCACCAAGCAGAGGGAGTCGCAAACTTCGCTTTGCGGCATTGACGCCTGACGATGTCCATGTATATGAGTCTGTCCCAGTGTCTCCTAAACGAAGGCTCTTGCGCTTCCTCCTCCTCCAGATGCTCCAGACCCTTCGATTGTTTCGTTGGGTACCTTTAAAGAGAATCGTCTACCGCGGAAACGACCTCTGTCTCCTCAAAGTCCCCAGACTCGTCACGGACTTGAGTACGAGGTCACAATGATAGACAGAACCTGAGGAAGGCACTCCAGAATATATTCGGAGACGATACTTTCCAAATGTGCCTGCAGACGACCCGTCTGTGTCTTGGATGAAGCCCTCACCGCCCAATTCGGAGCCTGTTTTGCTTCGCTTCGATCTGACAGGTGCCCCCATACCTGCAGAGATCTCTGCCACTCTGCCTTCTCATCTTGGCTTGCACCACCATGCCGATGGAACCACGCAGGATACACTCTTGATGATATATTTTTGCTGTCTGCTCCACTGTTCCTGCGCAACGCACTGTAATGCTCAATATCCTAGCCGGCATTGCGCGTCGGTTGGGAATGCAAGCAGGGACACCCACCACGCAGGCAGGATTGCTGAGCTTCAAGGGAAGGAGGAGGAACTACGAAAACGAATCCTCGCAGCCGGACTGCCGCAATGAATGAGAAGGGTGGCGTCGGTGTCCGGGCCATTCAGGTCGTCTGGGAATGTCTTGTTGGCTGGGACGCCCTCTTTGACGCTGAATGTGCCGAGTTGGATCTCGCTCCTGCCATTATGTCCACTCTGCAAGTGCCTAACTTCCTCACCCAAAGCCGCAGACTCTTCACGCAAGCATACTTACCCCCTGAATCCCTCGCCCAACTTCTGTCTATCGTCTATCGGTTATCGCAGGAGTCGAATGTCGTTGCGAAATCGATCATGAAGACTCCTCGATTACTCCCCGCCATACTACAGTTCCTTCTTACACCTATACCCCCACCATCAGACTCACCGCTGCCTAACCCTGTCGCTCTTCAGTGCCTTATTGTCCTCGCATCCTCCTCTCGAACCAACGCTATGGCACTATGTGAGCCAGCCGACGCCCTCCTTCGCTTTATTACCATACTTCCCCCTATCTCGCCCTTCCCTGAGCCCCTTGCAACAACTCTACTCACAGAAACCCTCCGCCTATACACCACTCTTGCATCCTATGGTCTCTATTCGCATATAACAACATCTGCCGCTTCCTACTTTGCTTCTTTGTCGACCTATGTTGTCTCATCCAGTTCGAGACCGCTGAAAGTGGCATGGGCGGGACTTGTGGAATCATGGATAGTCTGTGCAACGGATCCACATCACACGACTCCACCGCATGATATTTTATGGAGCCAGGTGACTAGCTGGGGCTGGGGTGTTGAAGTACTCCAGCTACGCCAGGGAATCGCTGAAGGAGAAGCGGAAGTGTGGGCGGCCATCTGGAGTGCTGCGTCTGCATGGCTCGAGGGTGCTCGGGTCAATGGTATCAAGGGAGGAGAGGGAGAACGTGCGGAGACTCTTAACGCAATCCAGGACGACTTTAACAAAGGAGTTGAAGATCGCGTGGTTAAAGCTGCCCTAGAGGCTTTGCGAACTGAACTCGCACAGATATACGAAACGCCACCATCAGAGCGGTATCAACACCTGCGGAGCATTGGCATTCATGCGCGCGCGCTTTCTTCCGCAGTGCGCCTCTGGCTTGCATGTACTCCTACTGCCCATGCGGCTGCACCGATAGGTGCTCCGCCGTTTAGCCTTCCTTTTGCTGAGCTATCGTCTTTCTGTGCTGTTCTCGTCTCGCATTCCATTTGGTCTTTCGTTACCAAGGGTGTCGAGCACGCTACCTGCAGGTCCCTGGCGACCTTCTTGGCGTATTTCCATAGACTGTCGCGACATATCCCAGGGACCTCAGCTGACCTCTGGGTGGCACAAGGTCTAACAATACTCGAAAGGCAGCTCCCTGGAGAAGAAGAGCACGCTTTTCACGTCCTTGAGCCCGTTTTAGCAGTCCTCACAACGCAGTTCCTCGGCACTATGGCGCCCCCTGGCATTTTGGAAAAAGGCGGATGGGGCGTGATTGAGCCTTTCCTGGATCATGCAATTCGCCCGAGCCGGGAGGTATACATTGGCCCCAGCGACGTTACGCCAGAGTCGATCATACGGTGCACTACTCTTCGACTTCCATCCTCCACCTCATCATCCTCTATTCTCAATGAACACCGCACAACAGGCCTTCCGTTGTCTCGCGTATGGCTAACCACACCAATTGACCATCTTCTCCGCTCCGGGTCTTCACCCGTTTTCAAGGCACTTCCTTCCTCGTGGGACGCATCGGAAGTTGATGTTATTCGCACGTCGCTGCTTCTTGTCAAAGCTACCCAAGAAATTCTATTGCGATACAGCTTAAGTCCATTCGCCCTGAAGCGCTCAGAGATGGTATTTGCTTGCATGAAAGTGTTCATGCTCGAACACGGCCAGCACCAGGAACATCCCTCGCCAGCTACAGGAGACGAAGAGGAAGTATTTCGGGACCTCATCGTTTCGAAATTAATGTCTAACGTCCTTGCACCATTCACCCTCGGCGCCGCCTCCGCTTCATCACCCTCATCCAAATTGCCTGATATTGACCTGGACCAGACCTCGCTTCCATTCCTCGGATCTGGCACTCCTTTTTACCAGTTTTACACAGACTTCCTGGGACTATACGACGCTATCTCCTTCTCGCACCCGATCTTTGCCTCCCTTCTCCTTCCACCACTTGCCCTAACCTACCCTATCGACTATCGTCGGTTGTTATGGGGAGACTTTGCACATGTGCTGCGTACTGTGCGTACCCCTGTGGATCGAGTCGTCGCAGGGGATCTCAGAGATTTCCTGTACCCGGTCGAGAAAGGCGAGATGATCGGAAAATACGTCAGTGCCCTTCTCCAAGGATCAGTGGATGGATTCCTGCGCCTTGTTGCGGTGCACCACGTGGCGTGCAATATCTGGCCTGATCTTCGGCCCGAGGGGGTCGAGGCCGAGCACGAGGATATGGCTAAGAAGCTGCTGAAGATGGTGGTGGAGAACGGAGATGGACGCACTGTGCGTGAAGTGCTGAGGTATCGACAGGTTCGTGGAGAAGCGGTTATTTATCCCCCTACTTGCTTTGAAGCAAATGGGGAGTGGATAGCAGACCGGGTGGAATTTGCGCAGCAGGCATTGGGGAGCGAATTGCACGAAAGACTTCAGGGGGTGTTTTATGGGTAGTGTGAGTTGCTTGACATTTATACACTGCTGTTACATATTCTGACAACTGGACAGCATATTGGATGCTTAAATGCGGTATATAGCTCAGGTGGGTCAAGGTCGTGTTATGGACTACACGTGTACATCTCGACGGCCCGGGTATGTTTATTACACAATGAGAACAAGGAAAACCTTGGTTTTGCGTAGTGGATGGATCCCTAACTTATTGGACGCCACCTTGCAGCCTTCGTTCGGGTGCTACCATGGCTTATCAGCCTTCGAGCACCTACCTACCCCTCTGAGTCTGGACGTCGCCCGATTAGCCAAAATCAGACAGCATCATGGCTCCGAAACCATTTGTTCACGTGCAAACTTGGGAGAATCCTCGAGGTTCATTCTCGGAATCGAGTTGTTGCCCAACCAAGCACAGTTTACAAGTGGAGTCGCGTATACTGATAACAGTAATGTATTGCAGTCTTTCTTTGTGCTTTCTTGTCCACATCATGAAACGTCTCGCATCACTACGCGTTTGGCCCCCCTCGTGCTACCCGGCTTAGTCGATTGCATAACACAGCAGGCCTTCCACCGAATAATATCCATGCAAAATGGTATTTCGACCGAGTGACGGTCTGCGAAAATTGACGCCTTGCGGACCCTATGTATGTTTTCACCTACTGCTCACGCGCCGACTTTTGCCGATTGGCTCTTTTCAAAGGCTCGCTCACGCGAAAGGAGAGCCAGAACTCAACACGGAGGCGTATTCAGTCACGATGGCCCTCCTATAAAGGGACATAATCATGTGGGGCGACTATCGAGCGGCTCTTCCCGCTTAACCCCTCATGTCAGCCAAAAGACATACCACGGACGCTGATGCTGCGGGTTGACACCGATCTTAAAGGAGTGTCCGAATATTTGGAATTTGCTCCGTTCGATCCCTCCCTTTGATACGATGATTTCCTGATGGACCTTCGATTCGAGGTTGTGCGAGAGGAGAAGACGGCAGTTGCATATACCATACTAGATATTGTCCGAAATGTCCACCGAAGTTGAGTGTTAGCGTTGGTATGATATACTTCTTCACAGCCCGCACCGCGCGAATACAGCGTTGATCCGAAAACAATCCGTCCTAGTTTGTCCCAGTCTGTTCTAGTCGCTACTCTAAGCCCTTCAACTCCGTGATCGTTTGGCCCGTGCTCGCTAGGCAGGACAGCTGGAATTGACATTTTGATTCATCGACTGTGAGGATCCGTGGTGGTCTCTGATTGCTAACATTGGCTGGACCACAAGGCATAGCAACTAGTTTTTTTTGGAGCAAGGCGTAGTACATGATAAGATGAGGTACTATGTTAAATATGACCACTGCCTGCCGACTATATCATAATAATGTTCAGATTCCAGATTACCGATACGGTGGTATTTCTTCACTTGATGTTGCCAATCATCTGGGACGCTCTCATCTTGCTAATTTTCATCCAGCCCGAATCCATAGTACTCCTCCGAGTTTTGATAGTACAACTCCTCCAACGGATCAGCGAGCAACGATCGTTTTAGTGCGACGCGCCGCACGGTGTCCTTTCGAGCATTAAAAATGATCAGGGTCTGAAGTCCAGGGAGAGAAAAATCCGCCTGTCCGTTGGGCATAGGAAGCAGTGCCATTGCCAACGAATCATACTTGTTCAACACCCCTGGTCCCAGGGTCAATACCTTGACGCTGGCCATTTGTTTGTATTGTACAGTCGGTGGAAGACCTCAGCATCTGCACAGAGTGGCGCGAAATTAACGAGATGGAGTTCATCTAGCTCCAGAAAAGAGTGACTGGTCAAGCCTCGAAGGATGCCTTCGAAATCATCCTGCGACAACTCGTACTCGTAGACGATTGCATCCAAGGTCAATATTCGGAGATGAGGTATATGAACATTGTAGAAAAAGTGCGCAGTCCAACATTCCATCATGAGGGATTGATAGCCACGGAGTGCAATGGGAGCAACTCAATGGGAGACACAATGTCTGTTGAAAGCGAATCCAAAATATCCAGCTCGAGTGCGAGGGTCTGTAGATTGACGAGTTCACCAAGTTGTGACAAAACTTCTGCTGTAGCGTATTTCTGTTACCGTCATCGATGCGGTAGTGTATCCGTAGGTTGACAAGGTGACATGAAAACATGGAGGGCGACAACCAGGTCCAACTTATGCCACAAAGGATAAGATCGCAGATGGGACAGCATTCAATTGATTGTGTACGAGTTGAAGATGCAGTTTGTCTAGCATACGGGCTGGATGGACGGAAGGGCGTGACATGAGGAAGAGTGCTTGACACAATATCAATGTGGGTTTGTGAGGTTGTCCTCAACGTAAACTCACGCCAACGGTGTACATGAGCATATAACTCCAGGATGATTAAGACAAGATAGGCGCCAGCCACGATTTCGTTATATCATTAAATAAGATTATTTTCGCTTGTGAGACCTCTGAAAGCTGAAAATCAGTGTAGAGGCACACAGCATGTGGAGAAAGGGCAGTGAGGCCAAAAAGCGAAGTATCGATTATGGAAGGTTACTGTAGCAAGGCTGCGGAGGAAGAACTCATACTCTGGGGCCCCTGGGTCATGAGGTAGGTGTATACTTCCCCTGTAGCATTCATACATTGATTTTCAGCTTTCTGAGGTCTCATACAGTGAAAAACTATGAAAATATGTGCTTGAACGATGGCATATCAAGCTCGCTGTTGTTGACAGCGAGCGCGAGGGTTTCGGCAACGTGTGGCATCTGTGCTCCGTTACCCGATTTGGCTATCATAGCTAGACCAAAAGAAACCTGATACGTCTCGGGCCTCGGCAACGGGATCAGTGTGCATGCGTGTGTCAACAAGTCAGTGACTCTTTGGCGACTCTGTGTGTGTTTTCATGTGTGTTTGCACAGTATATTATGTAGAATAGTTGAACGAATCCAGCACCGTACAAAAGATTGATCGTGCTGTTTAAACACGTTATGCTCTTTCCTGTACACCGAGAGACTGGGTTAGTTACAAGATGTTCCACATAATCTCAGCTTGCAACTCGGCACTACTACCAAGAGTGGGTAGGCAGCTGCTTAGTACTTAGTACCAGTGGAGAAAAATAGTTTGCATATATTGACCTATTCTCCCTCCATATCTGCCGGAGCACCAAATAACTTCCATAGATACCACGACGAAACTTCGAACATAATCCTCTGCTCCTTCAGAATACCCGACAAGCATTTCCCATGCTACACACTACTACTAGTTGACACATGTACGCGCTCCTGGAAGACAATTGAAGCCATGCCAGTTGCTGAGTCAGAGTGGGCCACGAGCTTAGCATTATATTCTCGAACGCTAAAGATGAGGCGTGGTCCCAGCACAAACATCTGCATGGCCGAGAGAATTTGAAGGATACCAACATATGTAGATCCTGCGGAAAGTGACTCCTATAGAAATGATGAGTACTAGTACTGGTCATATGCAGAGGTAAATCAGCGTACCGCGAGCATCGGAGAGAGATAACCAACCTGGAGGGAAGCAACAGCAGCAAAGCTAGCATGTGCAGAACTTCAATGGCAATAATAAAAATAGTATTTACATTACGAGCTCACCTTGCAAAGTAAAGCATGTGGGATTTTATCAACACTGTGAAACAGTTCTCGATGATCGATCCTGTTGATGGTCCCAGCGATCGCAGGTCACGGAAGTGTTTTACAGCAATCCAGACTGCAAGACACAGGGCGAGGACCTCCCATACAGCGGTGAGTATCCAAACAGCTGAAATCAGAATGTCGACGTCTCCCTCGTGGTCGTAACCGCAGATGTAGGTGCCAGAGAAGATTAACTCCTCTGGTATTGGTCTGGTCAGCATGACCCTTTGATACATAACTAAAGCTTACCCCCTACAACATACTTGAATCCTCTTCCGGTGAGCACTCCACAGGCGATGTTGACAGCCAGGAAGATTACAACGAGAAAGATAAGCATCTTTTTCGAACCCTGATACATGGCATATAACCGAGCAATCACGATGACTTGTATGATGTTTCAGTCGAGTCAATATCACCGAGATATTGCAGCTAAGTGGCTCACCATCTAGCATGGCAGTTACGACCACATTTGTCCAATTTAATGCGAAGTTCATGTTGTTGCCTGAAACACCCAATTAGTGATCATCCTAGGATGAAACACTCCAAACAAACTCACAGCCGTTGCCATCATTATACCAACACGCTGGACGGGAGTTTGACTCACCCCTACATAGGAATGCAATTAGTTGGACGCGCATAGTGGCAGGCATCCGTGCAGACACTCACTATATCTGTCAGCGAAACCGATGGAAGGCCTACTGCATGCCGTTGGTCAGAAGAAGCAAACACAAGTGCATATGAGACCTACCCAACATGTTGATACTGATTGTGACAGACATCTTATCAGCACATCCCCACCTTGTTAACCTTGCAAACATACACAGTGTAAGGTATTCCAATGTAGCGTACCTAGAATATTTCGATGTCAACACAACTAGCCAACTGCGCGCATAACATCACGTACAGTGACATATAGAATCGTCATGAGGGACCAGCGTTGTCTCTGCCCCGGATTAATTGTATCATTCTGTTGTTCTTTTGATGTAACTCTGCTTACCCAGATGAGTTCAATCTATAACACCATTTCAGTAAGATGACTGCTCCGGTAACGGCATCAACCTACCTCATGTCCGAGTGTCAGTGCTGGCAATACAATAAGGATATCAATGGTTCTTTAATACTATTTCGCTTACCCCAATCATATACCATCGCAGCGAATGAGGCAACTGTAAAACCGCCGTCAAGGTTAGATCGAGTCATTACCAACATCATCCGACTGGACCTCCACGAACCTAAAAAATAGCTGAAGAAACGATCCAAATTGAGTACCGGCCACAAGCTGGGATCGTTCGAGACTATGGTCATATTCGAGGGATGGGAGTGAGTGAGTGGGGAACTTGGTGGACATGTCACGACATTATTCGTGCTAGATATACCGTCATCCGGCGGCGCTTGTATCGCCAAACTCGGTATAATAATCGTTCTTGCCTTCGGGCCCTTGATTGACCGATGTAAGGATTGCGGCGTGAAATAATAGACAGCGGAAGTTCTCGATTTGAAAGCATCAGCAAAACAGTTTTTTTCTCACCACCAAAAAATGACTTGCCACAGCTTGGTCCCCTCTGTACAGCTCGTACAGGACATTGTAGTTGGCTGATGAATGAACTGGAATTTTAACCGAGTCCCGAGGATCTACAAACCAGTGTCTCGCACAGGAAATGTTTGCAGACTGGGAACGCACTGCACTAATGCATCACACAGCCAGGTACATCTTGATCGATATCATTTACGCCATGGCATATCTAAGTGAAGACAAAAATGAGAGGACGCAGGGGAGACAAGACTCGGACACGCCTGTAGGCCTGCATGGCTGCGCAGGAAGCTCCGACTTCTGATTCTTCTAATTGTACAATCTCATGTTGATGGCCATTGTGTTTCAGTGATCTTCTTCTGGCCGGAATTGAGTCAGTGCACACGAGAGTGCTATTGAGATGACTGCTGATCATATCAGCAAAGAACTCATCACCCTCAGCAATATCATGGGCAGCTATGAAGGCTACACCGTAGTTTGATGGTTCCACCTAGGTCACATACGGATAGTCAAAATACAAGAAACAACATCTCATCTGCATAGGAAGACTCACAGTTAAGCACGCTAAGGAGCGAAAAGAACCTCCTTGATGGGCCTTCGACAGCCTTTTAGCCAATTGTACGTAAGATAAAGCCGAAACGTTTTTCCTGATGACAGCGGCGCAGCGCATGCTTTCAACGACCTACTGTATTATCCAACTTCGTGAAGTTTGTGTAGGAGGACCACAGCATCACGGACGCTCGCTTCTGCTTCATACGACCTCCTGACAGTACCTTCTCAGACTGGTGTTTTCCAAGTGCCCAATTCGCCGTTAGTAGTTTGGGTGAACTCCATGGATCCAGCTTACGGAGTAGTGAACTAGCTCTACCTAGTTCTAGCCAGACCTCCTTCCAAGCAACAACCACACCAGAAATCCCGGATAGTGCCATTGAGGAGCAGAGGATCCTGAAATTGAATATTTATCTGAATCGCTTGAGATGTCTTCTGTCTAAAGTAGCAAAAACTCACATCTCGGTTGATTACAGAGACTACCATATCTGTACTTACCAGCGCACCAACATATTTCTTGCGGAGACCTGTTTTACATACGAAACTTTATCGACGCCGCGCATGCTCGCTTCATATGAGACACGACGCGCCCGACATCGAACGACGAACATGTCGTCAAACGGTACACAGTGGTTAACTTCAGAATTTCCATTTTACAAACGACAACCACATCAAACAAGCACCACACTATCCAACACCGAAAACCCAGCAGCAACTCCACCCTCATTACTCTCCGTCCCCTTCGTTCTCACAAGCCACCCCACTTCCCTCTCCACCACCTCTTCCTCTCCGAACAAGGCGTATCCAAAGATGCCTAGCTCGGAAATGACTTCTGTGCGAATGACTTTCTTCCCTGCATTCTCATCTGAACTCAAAGGGGATGCCGCGGCGCGTACGAGGTATCCCCCTACCCCACGCGGCGTCTCGATCATCTCCATCGCGATCCATGCTTCGCGTTCTTCAGCTGGTAAAGCATCTAAGAACGCAGGGATGGCGTCGCGGTAGACGTTGTTCCCACCTCCCTCGCGTTGGGGTTTGAGTACGAGCGAGGGGGCTTTGAGGTGTGCGAGATGGGTGCCTGGGGGTGTGCTTCCTTGACCTTGTTCTGGAGCTGGGAGTGCAGCGACGATATCAGCATCCTCCGAGTCGAGCGCCCACATCCCCATCCAGGTACTGCGGATATCTGCTGCGTGTGTTGTGAGATCAAGAGCGCTTGTACCCCATCTCGAGCCTTCGTTACTGAGAAAACGTTCGAGCACCCCAGGACGGGTGAGTGCTTCTTGGACTTTCTTCCCGCCTGCTAGTTGGAGTGGAAGGGAAGGACATTTGATGGCGCGACTGCGCTCAAGGAGGAAACGCGTCTCGTAGTAAGAAGGCGTGGGGAAATCAGACGGGGTGTATGATGCCCGGAAGTAAATTGTCGAGATTTGATATCTTGAGTGGGTTGTGTTGGGAAGGGTTATGGTAAGGGCTTGCGTGCTGGGGTCGAGGGATGCGGAGGTGGCGAGCTCGGAGAGGGTTTGACGGATGATGTGGATTTGATGTCTGCTGCTTGCTTAGTTTCGGGTTTGTGCGGAGATGAATGTATGTACTTTTCCAGTAATTCGTATTCTAGCCAGCGTTGGTCGAAGACGTTACGTTCATTGGGTTGGACAACGAATAGGATGCGTGCGCTGGATTGAAGTGAGTGAGTAAATAATGCTTGGGTGGAGTTGAACTGACTCTGGGAGGCCGTATGCTCCGTGAGCTTTGGCGAGACCTTCAGCCAGTCCAGAGGTGGTGCTGTTCTCTGGGAAATTACCTGCAGTCAGGTATGAGGATGCAGAGAAGTAGGAGGTAGACGCCAGGATATGTCTATCCTACATCAGCCTCCACAAAACAAACATCCAAAATCCAACAAAATAAACGCACCTATGCATAGCAGCCGCACGCTCAGAAAGCGGACCAAAAGACGAAGAGATGGTATTAAACTCGACTTGCTTCAGCGCAAGTCTATCGTCCGCAGCGTGCAAGAGATAATCGGATCTAAATAGGCCGAGGTGTAACGGCTATATTCCGTCAGCGTCACTCCAGGAAAAGGAAGGAAAGAAGGAGTTTCAGACCCACTTGTACCACGCCATGCTCCCTGATATTCTTCCACCCCCTCCACAGCGTCCCAGTAAACTCATCCGCCTTCCCCACGCCCTCCTCAGCGCCCATCACTGTATCTAAGAACTGGGTATCCATCGCTACGCGTGCATAGAGAACATTGTATACGCTCTGCAGGGTTCTTGCAGCTTGGAACTGCGCACGGGGAAAGGGCGCAGGCAAAAGTGAGAGGGGGGCATGAATTGCGGTTGTTGGTATGCGTGGTTGGGTATTGGATTGGGATGGTGGGAGGTATAGTAATCCGTGCGAGAGCGCGTAGGTGGTTGCGGTGAGTGTTAGAGCTTCCAGCTGCTCTGGGGTAAGCTGGGGAGGCCAGGCGGAAAAGTTGAAGGAGGTGGTCATTAGTGAGCGGGGTTACGTACCGATGAGTTATAAGCGACGGAGATAAGATAACAACACGTGTTCACTGCCTCGATCCTCTACCATCATCATGGCGCAATTTTCCACCATCCAAATAATTGAAACTAGTTTAACTTTGCTTACTTCGTAAGTCGCACTGATCACTTAATCACTGAGGCAATAATGAGGTGGCGTCTCATAGTATCCCTGTTGATCAATCATATCGGTGTACACGGTGTCTTACAGTGTCCATGATCCCTCTCATGATCAGCGCTCGCTAGCGCTGATAGCCCCAGCGTTGATCTGTGTTGCGACGCTTGGCGTATGTTAGCATAGCACTAGCCAGGTCCCCGGCACCGTACTTTGCAATTGCTGCACAGCGTTCGGTTATTACGCGTCCTTATATACGCACGACGAGCAGCACGATCTACAGCCCACCTAGTGTGTCGCACGAACTTGATGAGTCACGCTACCGCTTTGTATGTTGACGCTGGCCTTCAGGCATCTAAGGTATGTGTTATCTGAAGTGTTTGATATTTTCGAGCTCTCTGATCGACTTCTGAATCACCTAGTACTTCAATGGTTTGCAGTCTTATCATTTATTTGTCGTGTCTCTGACTAAAATACCACAGTCGGGACATTTGCAATTTTAGTTAATATATTGCTTAACTCGAACTCGGGGTGGGGCTGTGAACTAATCTACTCCCCTAGATTTTCGACTACTACATCACTCTAGAGGCAGAGGTACGTGCGGTGTCACCTGATTACAAAATTATTCGATGACCATCCAAAAGTCGCTGTCGGTCTGGCACCGCAAATGGACGTTTGTACGATTTATATTCACCATATCACGATACTTGCCATTTTTTGCCATTGGGATGACATTTTATACGTGTTTATCAGTTGCTTTTTGCGACAGTTTCTTATGGCGGCCGATGGAAAGCTGCGCTTCGAACACAATACTATCCTGGTGAAAGTGTGAGTAACGAAACCCTTTACACGCGCAAATATTCATGATAGCCGTGTAGTGTGTTAGATTTGGACAAGCGTCCAACGGTCAGCGTGCACAGGTTACTACTGCACGTCGATTTACTCATTCATTCTTTACTTAGTGTTGCACATCATCTGCATTATAGCTGCAGAAGGTACGTCATGTCTCAAACGAGCCACCAAATCTGACTTATTTTTCTCTAGGATTGCTAATAACGAGGATCTACGCTTCCTGGAACAGTAAGCGTCTACTGACATTCCTACTAGTCTTTCCCGTAGTAAGTTTTTCTTTGCCATCGCCGCGAGGACCTGAGTTGACCCGAATGTCCAGGTTTGTTTCATCATCTCTTATATCATCTCGGACACTCCCCTAGTCTTCAATTCTTCGAACACGACCCAAATTAACCTACGTTTGTGAATCCGTCTTAATTTCCGTGACCGTGATGCTCACAATGTACAGCGAATCCGGGTAACTGTCTTTTCGTGGGCGGGAGAAACAACGTCTTCGAGTACGCTGCTTTATTACTCTATGAACTGGGTTGGTCATTTCTTCTCGTCTCGTCATTCGATTCTCGAACTCACGTATGGATCAGTCCTCCTGTGCTTGATGTTGTTCATCAAATCCAGAAGATACAAAAATACTGTCGGACCGCTTCAAGAAACATTTTTCAATGATTCTGTGAGATATATGATTTGTATCATGAGTAAGATAATTCCGTTTGTAAGACTGGTCCCGTGGTGTGCTGATTTCCTTCCTCTTAACAAGTCACGTCTTCGTTTAGTATCATTCTGACTATGGTTCCCCCGGTGCGTCATTGTATGCCTGCTACTTAACTTCCATGCACTCATCGTTGAGCACAGATTACATGGGTTTCTATCACAGACTCGTAAGTACATCAACTTGAACGACCACATTACCAACTGATCACGTACACATTTCTAGTCCACAGATCGTCATCCACAGCGTCCTCGCATCTCGGATCCTTTTCAACCTACGAGAAAGTGAAGGACGCTCGCGAAATCATACAATACTATCGGATTCAGAAGTATCTGAGATGCAGTTTGATGAAGCCCAGTTCTCAACGTTGGGGGTTGAGGTTTAATGGACATCATGATGTGTCGCTGGGCTGGTCCCACCGTGTATGTATCTCATGTCCATATTAATCGACTTGCGCACTGCGATGCTTGCTTGTCTGCTTGGGACCATCACCTAGGGGGACTTTGGAGACACATTGAAAATTCTCGATGCATTACTTACAAAGTGCAGTGTGGGAACTTCCTGATTATCTCCTTTGATTCTGAAAATTATACCGTCGACTTACCATCGACCAAGAACATTCAACACGCTGAAGCCCGCCCATTCCAATTGAACAATTTGAAGGACGCAGGGAAACTAGCTTGATACGTAGTACTTAGGTGGCGCGTCAGTGTTCGGAATCTGCGTTCAACCTCTTGGACGACGAGAGGTAATTCTTCTGAGTGCTATATTCCATCTGGATTCGACTGACTAGTACTCCACTCCACAGGTTCTCCATGACGACGCTTTCTGTTCACCTGGGTGTCACCTCTAGAAGCGCAAGCGCCCTCGTGGAGCAGTGTCGCACACAAATCGACAAAGACACGGCTGCATTACTCGAGTCTGTGCGCGTCCTTCGCTCTCGCAGGAATGATCTCGCCCGTATATCTTGCCTTCCACCCGAGATTCTCGCGACTGTCTTCAAATACATCGCAGACGAGGAGGTTCTCAAGAGTTATCCCGGGCACACTCCTGAGAACACTCCCCGTTATTGTGCGCCTGCGTGTCTGATAGTCACACACGTCTGCAGGCACTGGCGCCAAGTCGCCCTCGACTTCCCAGCTCTTTGGGCATCTATCAATTGTGCCTCTGCTCGGTGGCTACCAATGATGCTCGAGAGGTCGAAAAATGATGCTTTGGTTGTCACATACAGTGCACAGGCCTTACAACCTTGTTTGGAGCAAGTGCTTTCACAGTTACCCCGAATCAAAGTCCTCCAGTTGTGCTTATTTTCATATTCGGAGGTCGATGTCGTTCTGGACTGTTTATCATCGCAGCCCGCACCATTGCTTCAAACATTCAGACTCTCGCACTGCGCGGGGCTCCATCACTCAGCGAAGCCCTGGCCCATATCAGACACAATCTTCCAAGGACGAGTACCCCGACTTCGGAGCGTCGAGCTTGTGTATTGTCCTTTCAACTGGACATCTTGTATTTTCAGCGGGCTTCGGACACTCGATGTGAGAGACACAGGCTTTGTCTTTACTTCCTCAGAGCTCCTATCAGCTCTGAGACGTATGCCTGACTTGGAGCAGCTTTCGCTCCGGCGACTGCTGATATTTCCCGAGGAAACCCAGCTCTTAGGCAAATTCCCACTCTCTCAGTTGAAACATATAGCGCTAGATTACATCCTTCCCCTCACATCCGTCGTAACTCTCTTCGCACATCTGGCCCTTCCCATTGATGTCACCGTCGCTCTAAACCTCGCAGGAACCGTCCAAGGTCCTCAAAGCTTTTCTGAACTACTTTCGGCCATGGATAAAGATCCTAACGAATTTGGTTCCATCATTCGGTCTCTGCGCACCAGCGTTTTATACGGTGAATTGGGTATCCAATTCAGCACATCAATGACGTTTAGATCTAATCATTCCTGGAACCCTCGTGATGACAATATATATGACGATGATATACGACTCTCGATCCAATTCGAATCTGGAGAGTTACAGCCAGGCGTTGTATTTGACGCAAGTCGGATCATCGCGCAGCACAAAATCCAAAACTTGTTTGTCTCATCGCTCCTTACCAGTGATCTCCCAGAAAATTTCTGGCGCGCTGGGTCCGTTAACCTCCCGGAGCTCAAAGTTATTCATCTGACCGGGCCCTCGGTTGGAGGTTTAATTGCTACGCTTTGCATTGAAGGTGCACAGACCTCAGATATAATGTATCCCTCGCTCCATGCCATAGAGCTCGAGAATATTGACTTCGAATTTGAGGAACCTGAAAAACTTTGGGACATCATCACAATGCGGGCTAAACACGGTGCCTGTATACGCAGACTCCGATTCGCGATGTGCATGAACTTGATGGCCAAGCAGGTGCAACTCCTGGAGGAAGTGGTTGCAGATGTTGATTGGGATGGGCATGAAGAGTCAACAGAGTCGTCGAAGCGTGACAGCTACACTTGCACCTGGAACCAATATCCTGATTCTGATGAGGACTCGGAGGACTAGTATCATGTATTCCGATTGTTTTGACTTAGCTCCGGACTCGTCTGTCATCGCCCTCGATACCATTAACCTGAATTTGGAACACTTGTTGCGAGGATCATAGATGCACTCTGGAGTCTGGCAATGGACACCTGTATCAAAACCCAAAAGATAACGACACGTGTTCGCCTCGACCCTTGTCTCACCAGTCCCTGTAGGATTGATGCATCATATCTGCTAGTTAGGGGACAAAGCTAATACATCAACTATGCTAGTTAGCATAGGTAGTGATGCATCAGAATATGCCGGCTGACGGATTAGGCTGTACTGTCAGCCACAGAGCCACATTCGCATTTTTAGCCAACTACTGTGAGAACTTCCCCACAACACCCAAAACATAGCCCATTTTGGTCATTCTCCATAATATCAACCTTTCCCACACCCTCCCCAGTCCATCCCTGGCACACCACCACACCATTATTAGATACAGGCTGCATTTGAGTAGTTTTATAGGCTATATACACATAATAGAACATAATAGACCGCTTTTTCTGTCTATTTTTGCACACATACTTGGTACAGAGCCTCTGCAAGTGTGACATAATAGAAAACATATCAAAAACAGTTACACATTTTTGCCCCTTTTGTATGGTGGTGCTCTAGAGTGTTTATCATATGTCTATGAAAATATATGAACTGATCCCAGCCCTTATTTGCCCCCTAGAGCACCCTATATCACCTGCTGTGCTGTACTAGCATAAAATAGAAAATAGCTACGCATTTTTTGGGCTTTAGGTACATAGACTTGGAAATATGATCCCCAGCATCCCTTAAATAATATAAACAAATGTCAAGAGCCTATGTCAACAGGATTGGTCCCTGTGGTGCTATGTGCTTACCCTCTCCTGGTAGTTCACCCCCTGGGAAAGTTTTTTACTGTGGCTCCAGCCCTCCAGGATGGTAGGGGACCTGTTCCTATTGATATCTAGTATTTAAATTGCATGGCTGCATTATAATAGCAACATAATCCTTCTCTACAATGAAATATCTCCTCCTGGCTATACTGCTGCACACTTTTGCATTTGTGAGGTTTTTCACTACATTATCATTGCACAAACTATCCAAACTGTTTATATTTCACTTCTAGTACATATATAAAGTCCTCCCTTGGTCAGGATCAGGAAGAAATAGATCAGAGTACTGATATCAGGGATATGTCAGCCATATTTACTTCTAGGGTCTCATGAGGATGCATCTGTGTAGTCAGACACTTGCTATATGTTGGACATATACTCATGATACCACCTCTGAATTTGTAGAAAGATCCATTCACAACTAACTGAGTGATAAGCAAAGTAAATGTGTGATAAAGTAATGCATCACATTCCCTAATGGAGAAAATGGCTAGCTAGCAATGTTGATTAATGCATGACAAAACACTACTAGTTAGCCTACTTTGATGCATCAGAATGACATATGGTGGCTCAAAAAAGTGTCTCAATGTTTGCACATTTTCATATAATTGTATCATTGTGAGCCAGGGTGTAGGAATATAATAGGGCTATAGGGACATGTCTGAATCCCTCATATCCAGGATTGAATCCGAGATATGCAGCGTGGGAAAGTGATGTCATGGAGCAGAGATATGGCTATTTTAGTTTAGTGACTCATTGAGACACTTATTTGACTTTATATCAAAATCATGGAATTAGACCACCTACACATGATGTGATCAATGACACATGTCTTAGAATATCATATGGGATGTGAAAGTATAAAAATAATAAAAATAAAGCCAAAAATCAACCTTTTTTGGCATCTTTTATCACTGACTACACAAAATCAATTCAACACTCTTTCTACACAATTCAACCAAATTTTTATAGAATATCTCACATTATACTTGTGTCCACTAAAGTATTATAAATAAAACTTACTGTAGACACTATACAAGCCTTCAGAAGTTCATTGGTGATCACCATTCTATGCTTTTTACCTCTACTATTTAGTATGCTATTTGCTTAAACAGTACTGACAAGCCTGCAAATGCTGCTCAAGTGACAAAAAGACTGTATAATATTTAGAAGCAGCTTATTACATCGCAGACATCATGTTGTGACTTGGGGGTAAGTGATATCAAGGCTAGCATTAGGCAAAAACATTCCTTTCTTTTCTAGCACTACAGAAGAGGAGATTATAAGCTTCACTATTGCCATCCATTTAGCCTCAGATGATTAATTCTAGTTCTATCTGCTAATAGTATAATTTTTGTTCAGCTATTCATAGTACAGCACTAGTGATACATAGCAGTGTTTACTCTTACTTCTATAGTGCTAAATAAGAAAGGGATGTTTTTACATAATTCTAGCCTTGATATCACTTACCCCCAAGTCACAACATGATGTCTGCGATGTAATAAGCTGCTTCTAAATATTATACAGTCTTTTTGTCACTTGAGCAGCATTTGCAGGCTTGTCAGTACTGTTTAAGCAAATAGCATACTAAATAGTAGAGGTAAAAAGCATAGAATGGTGATCACCAATGAACTTCTGAAGGCTTGTATAGTGTCTACAGTAAGTTTTATTTATAATACTTTAGTGGACACAAGTATAATGTGAGATATTCTATAAAAATTTGGTTGAATTGTGTAGAAAGAGTGTTGAATTGATTTTGTGTAGTCAGTGATAAAAGATGCCAAAAAAGGTTGATTTTTGGCTTTATTTTTATTATTTTTATACTTTCACATCCCATATGATATTCTAAGACATGTGTCATTGATCACATCATGTGTAGGTGGTCTAATTCCATGATTTTGATATAAAGTCAAATAAGTGTCTCAATGAGTCACTAAACTAAAATAGCCATATCTCTGCTCCATGACATCACTTTCCCACGCTGCATATCTCGGATTCAATCCTGGATATGAGGGATTCAGACATGTCCCTATAGCCCTATTATATTCCTACACCCTGGCTCACAATGATGCAATTATATGAAAATGTGCAAACATTGAGACACTTTTTTGAGCCACTGTATAGCCTGCTTGTCTTATGCAGTGTTTGGCTGGTCATTGAACATTTACAAAAGTTGGTGAACGTTCACCGGTGAATGTCTCTATGTCTACGGGTGAATGTGAACAGCTATGGTACCAGGAGTCCAAGGGAAAATATTATATAATCACATCTGATTGGCTAAGGCCTGCAACAGCAAACTTTTACTCATCCAAAATCTCATCTGCCTGAGGAAATTCTGGGTCATCAATACCCTCGGCATCTAAATCCAACAGCTCATATAACTCAATCTCAGTATCTAAGCCTCAGATGGCTGTCTGATAGAAAGATCCCAACCAGTCTTGAGCACAAGAGAAATTGAAGAGATCTTTGATAGGGATGCACCGGAAGTCAGAAGAATTAGCAGCCACCTCCATAATCTCAGAGGTTGTCAAAGTCTCCTCATCCTTGACAGCTTGTATAAGGTGTGCAGCAATTTGCCACAGCCCTCAGTGCTTGTGAGTTCCACTACTACACATCTGTTGGGGCTCACTGCCAAAGGCATCTGTGTCGGCCTCTGCAGTCACACAAGATGACTCTGCTGACTGGTTGATCTCAATTGTTGGGTTCTCGCAGTAACACCATTTCAGGCACTTCCTGACAGCCCCTGTATGAATGTGTTCCTCATGGAGGTGCATCTTCAGCTCTGCAAGCAGCATGAGATTTTGAGTAGAAAGCCAATTCTGCCATTTTGTGAGGATTGCACCAAAAATACTGAAAAGATGCTCACATGAGGCAGAATTTGGATAGATGGAGAGAATCTGTTGAGCAATTTTCTGGAGGGGCTTGATTTCAGAGTTGTGGTGTGAAAATTTATTCTAAATATCAAGAGGATCAACTGGTGTGCCCTATTAGCAGAGATTGGTCAGACTTGGAATATAATTCTTGGCTCTAGTAGTTGCATTACCTGATCATTTGCATGGGATACTGAGATCTGTGTATATATGTCAAGTGGCTGGAATTCAGACAAACTTTTCAGATAGTTATCAAGATCTGTGAAAAGCTCAGGTGGTGCTGTCCTGCCATAAAAATATTTCCAGAGGTGGCTGAAGAGGGACATTAGCCCAGCACAGGTCATCAGAGGAATGTTGCTGAATGGTTTGTCTTTGTAGAGCAGATTGACAATAACAGCAACAATGAAGACTTCTTGATCAACTTGACTCCAGCGGCACTCCACACTCTCAAGGACTGCGTTTCGAGCCACAAGGTCAGTGTCATCACCAATCCTTGGGTAGTGGTAGTAGAGAAACCCAAACGAGATGGGAATATGCTCAGGTTTGGAGTGGGAAGCTTGATGAATGTTTGTCATCAGGGCAATTGGTTCCAAAAGGTTTTTCCATCTCACGGTAGTGCAATATCAGCTAAAATTGCACTATATCACAAACAAAGATATCCTCACCTAGCCATCACATGCCAGAACATTGGGTTTTTGATTATGGCAATTGCAGCTGAGGTCTTTGCTTATGACCAAGCATCCCCTGTGGATCATATATCTGCCTTGTGCTTTGTTATCAACAGCTCTAGTGTTGGCTGAACATCCAAAAGTTGCACATATGCTAAATAATGTGACAACCATTGAGTGAGAACAGCACAAATGATGGCTAATGTCTTTCCAATGGTTGACATTTGCAGCTCACAAAGGAGAGTGAGAACATGAGTTTTGCTATGAAGCCATGTGATTAATTCCTGTGTGAGGTCACCATACTGCCCATAGTCATCCTTGGCTTTGAAGAGGTCCCCCATGATAAGGTTGAACTGTAAAAAAGGTGGAGCTAACTCGTATACTAGTATTATTGCATCAATAATCTATCTGATGAGCTAAACAGTCAGGTGTTACCAAGTGCAGAAATCTTGCACAAAGGAGTTGCCAAGCCTTACAAGACTCTCTGGATGCATCAGTAGTGCATGCAATAATAGTCACTCCCCACTCGCACTTGACTTGATTTATTGATTTGATCATCTGCTTGAGGAGCTCTTTAGCATGGTGTGGATCACCCAATGCATCATGAGCACAGACAGGATACAGCTAGTAATGTTTCAGGAAAGGTCATAGAACAATGTACATGATACTTATCTTTCATTTTATGGTCATCATAAAACCAAACAAATGATGGCTATTCTCACCAGTCCATCTGTCGCATTGAAGTGTTCCTACTGCACCATGACATTCTTCTTTTGCGCTCCCTTTGATATCATGCAGGACTTGTGGTATGACATGTTTTGTAAGGACCTTTGCCGACGAAACTTTTGCATGAGGAATAAACCTATCACAGAGCTTCAACCACTCTGTATTTTCGACCCATTGTAGCAGCAATCCTGTACTTGCAGTTACACGTGCTATCCCTGCTTCCCAATCTGCCTAGTCAGCCTCAGTCCAAGTTTGGCTGGTTAGCCAGTGAGCTCCGATGTGTGGAGTGACAGGCTGCAAAATAGAGTGATATACACCTGAATTCAGACATTGGCGCTTTAAGGGAACTTGAAGTGGAAGGAGGGCAACATCAGACATTGAAGGACTTGGTGCGTGAGAGTCGAATGCCAGTGGGTTTGGTAAAGATAACAAGCTTGAAGAGCCACTGGCAGACACCAAAGGAATAAAGAGACTGAGAGCTGGTGATGCCGATGCCGAAGAAGGAAGATAAGATGGTGTTGAATGCATGGCTGAGGAGGGCCCTGCAATCTGAGAAGAATCATGATACAACTGAGGCACAGATAGTACTGCTGCTGGTTGATGTGCTGCAAGATCACCTTATGCCTGCAACCAAACACTCTCTGTATGTAGGCCACAGTCCTGAATATGGGTCAGAAGGGTTTTAGGATGGCTGATGAGCCAGATCCATTGTGAATCCTGCTGGCCAGTAGCTCATACTACAATACATCAGGAAAATGTGGTAAGGCTATATAGCCACCCATAGCGCTATAGACTGCTATACAGACTCCATAGCCCTATAGCTCATATAGCCAAGTGCCCAATTGTGCAGGCTTACTACACCAGTGTATAGTGCTATATAGCTCTATTAAAGTTGCTATAGCTGGGTGGAACATACCACAACTATTGTAGCTATTATAGCTCAAAACACAAAGCAAAAATTTCTCTTAATAGCTGTTTGTTGCCATGATAGTGTTCTCAAAATTAAAAAAAAGCGAAAATTCCAAATTATATTTCAACTACTACAATACATGTAAACTAATAACTACAAAACAGGCAAAAATGCGAAAATTACAGGAGGAAGAGGCAAGAGAACTAGAAGGAAGAATCAGAGAGGAAAGAACTTACCAAATAGTGAAAATTGCGAAAATTCTTGAGGGAAGAGGAGGGAAGGGAGCTAGAAGGAGAGGATCAGACAGGAGGAAGTGAGAGTCAGAGAAAAGACTTGCCAAATGGTCAAAAATGCGAAAATAGTTGGGGGGAGGAGGAGCAGGAGGGAAGAGAGCTAGAAGGAGAGGGTTAGAAAAAAGATTAGTCAAATAGTCAAAAATGCGAAAATTATGGAGGGAGACTTACCAGAGTTCAAAGCACCAGCACCAGTACCAGCACCAACAACATCAACACCAAGAGAAGGATAGAGAAGCAAGAAGAAGAGAAGAGAGGCAAAAAACTCGAAAATTGTAAGAAAAATATGGAAGATAATCTAATGAGGGGGCAGTGGGGGGGGAAGGAAAGAATGGGAAAAGACTTGTTGGTTGACCGCATTTTTGCTTACATAAGCAGTGCCAAACAAAGCCACAACACAAGACTTGGTGAATTTTCGAGTTTTTGGTTAATAGGACTAGGATTATGACAGTAAGAAAAAGACAATGAAATTGACTGTTAGCATTAGGATTTTGAATACACATAAGGTGAATTTTCGCATTTTTGCTTACATAAATAAGGTGTACCTTAACACTTTTGAACCCTTCAATTCCAAGTATTTTCCTTATAACTCACTAAGATCTTGACCTATTGAAGTCATTAGACTATGGATAGACTTCCCTTGACAAGGACTACAACTTTGATTTAATCGAAAAAGGTTCCCACGGTCAAGTTGCTTTCTTGAACCCTTCGATTTCGAGTATTTTCCTTGTAACTCACTAGGATCTTAACCTATTGAAGTCATTAGACTATGGATAGACTTCCCTTGACAAGGACTACAACTTTGGTTTTCATCGAAAAAAGTTCCCACAGTCTACTGGGGTCTATAGTTGTTGAAATGTTTTACTTCTAAATACACTTACCAAACTTTATGGTAATATAGACTTTCATGATGTCTATACTGGTCTATAGCGCTGTGATAGCTTGCGATAGACTGTATAGAGCTGTGGTGTGCTATCAGGGCTATATAGAGGATGGTCCTCTATATAGAGATACAGTTTTTTCCTGATGGTGTTTAAACAGCATGATCAATCTTTTGTACGGTGCTGGATTCGTTCAACTATTCTACATAATATACTGTGCAAACACACATGAAAACACACACAGAGTCGCCAAAGAGTCACTGACTTGTTGACACACGCATGCACACTGATCCCGTTGCCGAGGCCCGAGACGTATCAGGTTTCTTTTGGTCTAGCTATGATAGCCAAATCGGGTAACAGAGCACAGATGCCACACGTTGCCGAAACCCTTGTGCTCGCTGTCAACAACAGCGAGCTTGATATGCCATCGTTCAAGCACATATTTTCATAGTTTTTCACTGTATGAGACCTCAGAAAGCTGAAAATCAATGTATGAATGCTACAGGGGAAGTATACACCTACCTCATGACCCAGGGGCCCCAGAGGATGAGTTCTTCCTCTGCAGCCTTGCTACAGTAACCTTCCATAATCGATACTTCGCTTTTTGGCCTCACTGCCCTTTCTCCACATGCTGTGTGCCTCTACACTGATTTTCAGCTTTCAGAGGTCTCACAAGCGAAAATAATCTTATTTAATGATATAACGAAATCGTGGCTGGCGCCTATCTTGTCTTAATCATCCTGGAGTTATATGCTCATGTACACCGTTGGCGTGAGTTTACGCTGAGGACAACCTCACAAACCCACATTGATATTGTGTCAAGCACTCTTCCTCATGTCACGCCCTTCCGTCCATCCAGCCCGTATGCTAGACAAACTGCATCTTCAACTCGTACACAATCAATTGAATGCTGTCCCATCTGCGATCTTATCCTTTGTGGCATAAGTTAGACCTGGTTGTCGCCCTCCATGTTTTCATGTCACCTTTTCAACCTACGGATACACTACCGCATCGATGACGGTAACAGAAATACGCTACAGCAGAAGTTTTGTCACAACTTGGTGAACTCGTCAATCTACAGACCCTCGCACTCGAGCTGGATATTTTGGATTCGCTTTCAACAGACATTGTGTCTCCCATTGAGTTGCTCCCATTGCACTCCGTGGCTATCAATCCCTCATGATGGAATGTTGGACTGCGCACTTTTTCTACAATGTTCATATACCTCATCTCCGAATATTGACCTTGGATGCAATCGTCTACGAGTACGAGTTGTCGCAGGATGATTTCGAAGGCATCCTTCGAGGCTTGACCAGTCACTCTTTTCTGGAGCTAGATGAACTCCATCTCGTTAATTTTGCGCCACTCTGTGCAGATGCTGAGCTCTTCCACCGACTGTACAATACAAACAAATGGCCAGCGTCAAGGTATTGACCCTGGGACCAGGGGTGTTGAACAAGTATGATTCGTTGGCAATGGCACTGCTTCCCATGCCCAACGGACAGGCGGATTTTCTGGACTTCAGACCCTGATCATTTTTAATGCTCGAAAGGACACCGTGCGGCGCGTCGCACTAAAACGATCGTTGCTCGCTGGTCCGTTGGAGGAGCTGTACTATCAAAACTCGGAGGAGTACTATGGATTCGGGCTGGATGAAAATGAGCAAGATGAGAGCGTCTCAGATGATTGACAACATCAAGTGAAGGAATACCACCGTATCGGTGATCTGGAATCTGAACATTATTATGATATAGTCGGCAGGCAGTGGTCATATTTAACCTAGTACCTCATCTTATCATGTACTACGCCTTGCTCCAAAAAAAACTAGTCGCTATGCCTTGTGGTCCAGCCAATGTTAGCAATCAGAGACCACCACGGATCCTCAGCAGTCGATGAATCAAAATGTCAATTCCAGCTGTCCTGCCTAGCGAGCACGGGCCAAACGATCACGGAGTTGAAGGGCTTAGAGTAGCGACTAGAACAGACTGGGACAAACTAGGACGGATTGTTTTCGGATCAACGCTGTATTCGCGCGGTGCGGGCTGTGAAGAAGTATATCATACCAACGCTAACACTCAACTTCGGTGGACATTTCGGACAATATCTAGTATGGTATATGCAACTGCCGTCTTCTCCTCTCGCACAACCTCGAATCGAAGGTCCATCAGGAAATCATCGTATCAAAGGGAGGGATCGAACGGAGCAAATTCCAAATATTCGGACACTCCTTTAAGATCGGTGTCAACCCGCAGCATCAGCGTCCGTGGTATGTCTTTTGGCTGACATGAGGGGTTAAGCGGGAAGAGCCGCTCGATAGTCGCCCCACATGATTATGTCCCTTTATAGGAGGGCCATCGTGACTGAATACGCCTCCGTGTTGAGTTCTGGCTCTCCTTTCGCGTGAGCGAGCCTTTGAAAAGAGCCAATCGGCAAAAGTCGGCGCGTGAGCAGTAGGTGAAAACATACATAGGGTCCGCAAGGCGTCAATTTTCGCAGACCGTCACTCGGTCGAAATACCATTTTGCATGGATATTATTCGGTGGAAGGCCTGCTGTGTTATGCAATCGACTAAGCCGGGTAGCACGAGGGGGGCCAAACGCGTAGTGATGCGAGACGTTTCATGATGTGGACAAGAAAGCACAAAGAAAGACTGCAATACATTACTGTTATCAGTATACGCGACTCCACTTGTAAACTGTGCTTGGTTGGGCAACAACTCGATTCCGAGAATGAACCTCGAGGATTCTCCCAAGTTTGCACGTGAACAAATGGTTTCGGAGCCATGATGCTGTCTGATTTTGGCTAATCGGGCGACGTCCAGACTCAGAGGGGTAGGTAGGTGCTCGAAGGCTGATAAGCCATGGTAGCACCCGAACGAAGGCTGCAAGGTGGCGTCCAATAAGTTAGGGATCCATCCACTACGCAAAACCAAGGTTTTCCTTGTTCTCATTGTGTAATAAACATACCCGGGCCGTCGAGATGTACACGTGTAGTCCATAACACGACCTTGACCCACCTGAGCTATATACCGCATTTAAGCATCCAATATGCTGTCCAGTTGTCAGAATATGTAACAGCAGTGTATAAATGTCAAGCAACTCACACTACCCATAAAACACCCCCTGAAGTCTTTCGTGCAATTCGCTCCCCAATGCCTGCTGCGCAAATTCCACCCGGTCTGCTATCCACTCCCCATTTGCTTCAAAGCAAGTAGGGGGATAAATAACCGCTTCTCCACGAACCTGTCGATACCTCAGCACTTCACGCACAGTGCGTCCATCTCCGTTCTCCACCACCATCTTCAGCAGCTTCTTAGCCATATCCTCGTGCTCGGCCTCGACCCCCTCGGGCCGAAGATCAGGCCAGATATTGCACGCCACGTGGTGCACCGCAACAAGGCGCAGGAATCCATCCACTGATCCTTGGAGAAGGGCACTGACGTATTTTCCGATCATCTCGCCTTTCTCGACCGGGTACAGGAAATCTCTGAGATCCCCTGCGACGACTCGATCCACAGGGGTACGCACAGTACGCAGCACATGTGCAAAGTCTCCCCATAACAACCGACGATAGTCGATAGGGTAGGTTAGGGCAAGTGGTGGAAGGAGAAGGGAGGCAAAGATCGGGTGCGAGAAGGAGATAGCGTCGTATAGTCCCAGGAAGTCTGTGTAAAACTGGTAAAAAGGAGTGCCAGATCCGAGGAATGGAAGCGAGGTCTGGTCCAGGTCAATATCAGGCAATTTGGATGAGGGTGATGAAGCGGAGGCGGCGCCGAGGGTGAATGGTGCAAGGACGTTAGACATTAATTTCGAAACGATGAGGTCCCGAAATACTTCCTCTTCGTCTCCTGTAGCTGGCGAGGGATGTTCCTGGTGCTGGCCGTGTTCGAGCATGAACACTTTCATGCAAGCAAATACCATCTCTGAGCGCTTCAGGGCGAATGGACTTAAGCTGTATCGCAATAGAATTTCTTGGGTAGCTTTGACAAGAAGCAGCGACGTGCGAATAACATCAACTTCCGATGCGTCCCACGAGGAAGGAAGTGCCTTGAAAACGGGTGAAGACCCGGAGCGGAGAAGATGGTCAATTGGTGTGGTTAGCCATACGCGAGACAACGGAAGGCCTGTTGTGCGGTGTTCATTGAGAATAGAGGATGATGAGGTGGAGGATGGAAGTCGAAGAGTAGTGCACCGTATGATCGACTCTGGCGTAACGTCGCTGGGGCCAATGTATACCTCCCGGCTCGGGCGAATTGCATGATCCAGGAAAGGCTCAATCACGCCCCATCCGCCTTTTTCCAAAATGCCAGGGGGCGCCATAGTGCCGAGGAACTGCGTTGTGAGGACTGCTAAAACGGGCTCAAGGACGTGAAAAGCGTGCTCTTCTTCTCCAGGGAGCTGCCTTTCGAGTATTGTTAGACCTTGTGCCACCCAGAGGTCAGCTGAGGTCCCTGGGATATGTCGCGACAGTCTATGGAAATACGCCAAGAAGGTCGCCAGGGACCTGCAGGTAGCGTGCTCGACACCCTTGGTAACGAAAGACCAAATGGAATGCGAGACGAGAACAGCACAGAAAGACGATAGCTCAGCAAAAGGAAGGCTAAACGGCGGAGCACCTATCGGTGCAGCCGCATGGGCAGTAGGAGTACATGCAAGCCAGAGGCGCACTGCGGAAGAAAGCGCGCGCGCATGAATGCCAATGCTCCGCAGGTGTTGATACCGCTCTGATGGTGGCGTTTCGTATATCTGTGCGAGTTCAGTTCGCAAAGCCTCTAGGGCAGCTTTAACCACGCGATCTTCAACTCCTTTGTTAAAGTCGTCCTGGATTGCGTTAAGAGTCTCCGCACGTTCTCCCTCTCCTCCCTTGATACCATTGACCCGAGCACCCTCGAGCCATGCAGACGCAGCACTCCAGATGGCCGCCCACACTTCCGCTTCTCCTTCAGCGATTCCCTGGCGTAGCTGGAGTACTTCAACACCCCAGCCCCAGCTAGTCACCTGGCTCCATAAAATATCATGCGGTGGAGTCGTGTGATGTGGATCCGTTGCACAGACTATCCATGATTCCACAAGTCCCGCCCATGCCACTTTCAGCGGTCTCGAACTGGATGAGACAACATAGGTCGACAAAGAAGCAAAGTAGGAAGCGGCAGATGTTGTTATATGCGAATAGAGACCATAGGATGCAAGAGTGGTGTATAGGCGGAGGGTTTCTGTGAGTAGAGTTGTTGCAAGGGGCTCAGGGAAGGGCGAGATAGGGGGAAGTATGGTAATAAAGCGAAGGAGGGCGTCGGCTGGCTCACATAGTGCCATAGCGTTGGTTCGAGAGGAGGATGCGAGGACAATAAGGCACTGAAGAGCGACAGGGTTAGGCAGCGGTGAGTCTGATGGTGGGGGTATAGGTGTAAGAAGGAACTGTAGTATGGCGGGGAGTAATCGAGGAGTCTTCATGATCGATTTCGCAACGACATTCGACTCCTGCGATAACCGATAGACGATAGACAGAAGTTGGGCGAGGGATTCAGGGGGTAAGTATGCTTGCGTGAAGAGTTCTGCGGCTTGGGTGAGGAAGTTAGGCACTTGCAGAGTGGACATAATGGCAGGAGCGAGATCCAACTCGGCACATTCAGCGTCAAAGAGGGCGTCCCAGCCAACAAGACATTCCCAGACGACCTGAATGGCCCGGACACCGACGCCACCCTTCTCATTCATTGCGGCGAGTCCGGCTGCGAGTATTCGTTTTCGTAGTTCCTCCTCCTTCCCTTGAAGCTCAGCAATCCTGCCTGCATGGTGGGTGTCCCTAGCTTGCATTCCCAACCGACGCGCAATGCCGGCTAGGATATTGAGCATTACAGTGCGTTGCGCAGGAACAGTGGAGCGAGACAGCAAAAATATATCATCAAGAGTGTATCCTGCGTGGTCTCCATCAGCGTGGTGGTGCAAGCCAAGATGAGAAGGCAGAGTGGCAGAGATCTCTGCAGGTATGGGGGCACCCGTCAGATCGAAGCGAAGCAAAACAGGCTCCGAATTGGGCGGCGAGGGCTTCATCCAAGACACAGACGGGTCGTCTGCAGGCACATTTGGGAAGTATCGTCTCCGAATATATTCTGGAGTGCCTTCCTCAGGCTCTGGTCTATCATTTGTGGCCTCGTACTCAAGTCCGTGACGAGTCTGGGGACTTTGAGGAGAAAGAGGTCGTTTCCGCGGCAGACGATTCTCTTTAAAGATACCCAACGAAACAATTGAAGGGTCTGGAGCATCTGGAGGCGGAGGAAGCGCAAGAGCCTTCCGCTTAGGAGACACTGGGACAGACTCATATACATGGACGTCGTCAGGCGTCAATGCCGCAAAACGAAGTTTGCGACTCCCTCTGCTTGGTGACGAAGGTCTAGTACTGCTGGTCACCAAAATTGGGGGAGCTAATATGCAGCTTTTGTGTTAAAATACCCATCATACCCGAGGAGAGACGTGCCTCTTTTCCCGAAATCTTCCAGGCTCTTGACCCTCGAAAGATTACGCCTAGTAGCGAGGCCTGGTAGCGAAGAAACGATCGGAATTTCGCGGGAGACCTCCGGGGCATCTTCCTTTTGTATAGGAATATCCTCAGCTATAGTGGGAGCCTTCGTTGCTTTTCGTGATCTTGCAGCACGTACACGCTCCAAAAGGTCACCGACACCACTTCCCAGTTGTTCTACAACCTCACGCCTCTCTTGTTCTCGCTCCTCTTCAGTCATATTTTCCACTTGGCGCTCGTTGTCCTCACTAATCTGCAGACGCATAACATCGTCAGTGGTGGGTAAATCTACCTCAAGGTCTCGAGGTTGTTCTGCGGGACGCGCGGGTAGGACGAGAGGTACAGTTGTTGGCCTGATATTACTACTGCTCTTTTCCTCTTCTCTTGCGCGAGCAAAGGCGCTCTTTGACCTGTGCTGAACAGCTGGAAAACCCGAGCCAGGAGTATTTGCGAATCTCGGAGAGGGTACACTTTGGACTGTAGACGTCTTGCGTTCAAACACGGAGCCAACCAGCGAGCGTTCAGCGTAAGACATTCGTAATTTCAAAAAGCAAGGAGGTCATAGAACAGGACGTTTGTAACGCGGGTGAGTGCTGCCAGATCATCAGGCTTGGTGGGCAAAGGGACAGAAATTTCTGGCAACATATTATGCAGTTACGTAATCGTTGTTCAGTCTTGCTAAGCCATCTTCAGCAAGCTTAGCTATGTAAGTACCATGCAAATGGCGAGTACTGCGGCCAAGAGCTATCCTAATTCTGGACCATGTCTTGCGCGCCTGTAGATGGGGCATTCGAAAACGTTCCAATCATGTACGATCACTTCCGGATTTCTTTGCAAATTTGACGATGCTTTGATCAGCGATCTGGAAAGTGCATTTAGTGAAGATGAAGCTTCACGACGTGTCCTGGCACAACAAATTCGAATGGCCTGTATGAACGTTGGATTTTTCTATGGTACGCACAGCCTGGTATCGATATCTGCCCGTTTCACACCTCATGACAATTGATATCCCCAGTCAAGAACCATGGCATAACTCAGGACTTTCTTGACGAAGTCCTGAAAGTAAACAAGGAATACTACTCGCTTCCAGATGATGAAAAGATGAAAGTGCGTTCATCTGAATGCTGCACTTGACCAACGACATTTAGCATCCACGACTAGCTCCATCATAAAACTGTACCGAATTTCAAAGGCTACAGCCCTCCGATGGAAGCAAACATCCAACCAGGGAACAAAGGTGACTTACATGAGGGTTTCCGCATCGGCTGGGAAGAAAAATCCGAGGATCCAGTGACCCAAAGTGCTTCTTGCGATGGAGTGATGGCAGGCGCGAATGTCTGGCCGGATAAACCTGAGAATTTTAGAGTCGCCTGCATGGATTATTAGTCAAGTTGATGATCGTTTTTCGAAACATCAGAAACTCACGATGCACCTGCAGTCACGCTGCACTTGCCGTTGGAAAGAAGCTGTTTTGCCTCTTTGCACTGGCGCTCGATCTGCCCGAAACATACTTCAATGACAAGGTACGTACCTGGACGGCACGGCGTGGTTAGCACATGTCATAAATTGAACAGACCATGTATTCCGCCGCTACCATGCGCATGTTACGGTCACCCTTTTTCCCCTAAACCTCGCCACCGTCACATTTCACATCTTCACATTTCACATCTTCACACCTTCATATGCTCACTCTTCTAATACGTGTACTTCTAGGACATTCTATCGTACGATTCTCTTTCTCTTTTTCTCATTGGCTCATTATTATTGAAGCTCCGCTTCTACAATTCATTCGCCGACTCAATACCTTTATATATACCTCATCTCCACCATTTGTACTCTTTAACTTGACCTACGCAGACCAGGGCCTGCAATACTACTGCTTTACTCGTACGACTCTAACACTAGGGTGTTAGCTAGAACTTTCGACTACTTTTGATTACTGCTAAGACGTCTAACGACGCTGAGCGTAACAAAAGGTCAAGTTACTTTTCAGAATCGCCTGTCCTACGACCCCGGCAACCACCAACGAATCTAGACTAAGCATCCGCGGTATCGCACTGCTGTTGCTAATCGACTAGTCAAAACGGCTACTCGAGGGAAACACTATCCCGGCTTTAACTGGGACGAATCACTAGGAACCTGGACCGCTCCAGACGTTGACAACAACTACTTCACTATCCACCAGTGGAGGACGTTCAGAAACAAGACCGCGAAGAAAGGAACGCACTGGGACTTTGACACCCAATCTTACGTCGACAACGACTTCCCTGAAACTCCCCTCGTTTCCCCCACTCCCACACAACAACCACTCCCCCCTGTCGAAGAACCACTTCCACAACAACCTCCCTTAGACGACTCAGACTCCGAACCAGAATCAGACACCGAAGAAGACGACGATATGCCCAAACTCATCGGCAACGTTCCCCCTCCCTTTAACGGCGACACCCGTGCCGCAAAGGGATGGCTACTACAGGTAGAAGCCTACCTCGACATCAACGACTCCGTCTACACGATCGACAAACAGAAGATCGTCTTTATCCTGTCACTTATGACAAAGGGAGAAGCCGCCAAGTGGGCGGAAGGACAGTTCAAGAACGCCAGCACTTCCAAAGCGTATGGTAGTTACGAAAACTTCCTCGAACAATTCAAGAAGACGTTCCACCCGAAGAACGTCGTGGACACAGCGATCCGTCGCATCTCCACCTTGAGGCAAACAGGAAGCGTCCCCGCTTATACTTCCATATTTCGCACTATATTAGCTGACACAGGCATTACCGAAGAAAGTATGAAGATCATGTTCTTTAGGAACGGTCTCAAGAAAGAAATAGTCAATACAATACTTAACTTCGAGAACGTACCCGCTACCATAGATGACTGGCTTGAAAAAGCCCTAGAAGTAGAGTCTCGTCGCAGCCTTACTGCACCTACTAACTACAAGTCCCGAGACCCTTACGCTATGGACATAGATAGGGCAGAAGTAGAAGAAGAGGATGGGGAGAGACACGCGAGGAAGGCTTACTTAACCCCACAGGAGAGAGAGCGCAGACGCAAAGGAGGCCTCTGCTTCAAATGCGGCAAGAAGGGCCTAATCAAGGACTGCCCCAACCATCCCGCATTCACCCCGCGCGCTCAAACCGCTGCCAAGAAAGCCAGCAGAGACGACGAAGACGACTACAAAGAGTTCTTAGAATGGAAGGCGTTTAAAGCACGCCAGGCAAAGAAATCAGAGGAGAAGGATTTTGCCTAGAGGAGACTGGACCGGCATCAGTATCTCCTAGAATCGGACTAGTAGTACAATCGATTGGTGACTCTAAATCTATGCGTTTACCACTGACTTTTGACTCTAGCATTGCCGAAGCCGCAGCTCTAATCGACTGCGGAGCAGAAGGGGAATTCATCGACTGGATGTTCGTACGACGGAACTCCATCCCCACAGAAAAACTGACTACGCCAATAAAAGTCAGAAACGTCGATGGGACTCTCAATAAACAAGGTCAGATCACACACTCTTGTAAATTATCTTTCCGAATCAGAGGAATCCACATGGAAAGACGATTCCTTGTAACCTCTCTAGGAGGAGAGGACGTCATCCTGGGAATATCCTGGCTAAAGAAAGAAAATCCGCAGATAGACTGGACGAAAGAAGAAATAACCTTACGCGAACGAAGCGCGTACATAGAAGAAGTCGAAGACGAAGAAGAACAAAAATTCTTTGATACCCAGGAGACCCTAGAAGACGAATGGGACCCTGCCGCGGAAAGTATTCCGTATTCCTCCGAAATTCCCAAACTCCTTGACCCTGAACCTGCTGACGACACAGAAGAAGAATTAGAACCGGACGAATTCCTGATCGCCTATTGCAAAGGCGATCACGTCATCGGAACTTACGAGACTTTTGAATCCCCTCTCACAGACGAACATATCCCCGCCGACCACCGATTCTTCTCAACCCGCGGAACCCTAGTCAGGAAAGCCGACAACATTTCTCAAGCCCTCGCCCAAGACGCTCCCAAACCAAAGAAGACCTTTGAAGAACTCGTACCAGAAATCTTCCAGAAGTATAAGGACGTATTCGGAGAAGTAGCTAACGGAACTCTTCCACCAGAACGCAAGTTCGATCACAAAATCGACCTCAAAGACACCTTCGAACCGCGCAAATGCAAGATCTATCCACTCAACCCCGCGGAAGAGAAAGCCATGAACGATTTCATCGACGAGAACCTCGCTAAAGGTACCATCATCCCCTCCGAATCTCCTCAGTCATCTCCATTCTTCTTCGTCGGGAAGAAAGACGGTTCCCTCCGACCCTGCCAGGACTATCGTTATCTGAACGAACACACGGTTAAGAATAACTACCCGCTCCCGCTGATATCCGATCTTATAGATAAACTCAAGAACGCGAAGATCTTCACCAAGATGGACATCCGATGGGGATACAACAACGTCCGACTCAAAAAGACCGACCAATGGAAAGCGGCCTTCGCAACGGCAAGAGGACTCTTTGAACCCACGGTAATGTTTTTTGGCATGTGTAATTCGCCAGCCACCTTCCAATCGATGATGAACGATACGTTCGGAGATATGCTCCAAGAAGGATGGCTAATCATCTATATGGACGATATACTAATCTTCTCTGATGACTTCGAAACCCACCAGAAACGAACTCATCGCGTACTAGAAAGACTCCACGAACACCGCCTTTATCTCAAACCGGAGAAATGTACGTTCAACGTGGAAGAAATAGAATACCTCGGCATGATTATCAAACCAGGATCGGTAGCTATGGACCCGGCTAAACTGAAGGGAATCTCCGAATGGGAGACCCCGAAGAAAGTCAAAGAAGTCCGATCATTCCTCGGGTTCGCTAACTTCTACCGTCGTTTTATTGCTGACTACTCTACCATCGCACGCCCCCTTATAGATCTCACAAAGAAAGATATGCCGTTCGAATGGAACGAAGAACGCGACTCCGCCTTCCGAAAACTGAAAACCATCTTCACATCCGCTCCTATCCTTCAGATCCCCGATAGACACGCCCCATTCGCCATCGCTACTGACGCATCCCTATACGCCACCGGCGCAGTACTCCTTCAAAAAGACTCAAACGGCGAATGGCTCCCATGTTCATACCTCTCCCAATCATTCGCCCCCGCTGAACGAAACTACCAGATCTATGACCGAGAACTCCTCGCCGTCATCAGAGCGCTCAAAGCATGGCGACATTACCTCCTAGGTTCTCCATTCCCCGTAGAGGTTCAAACCGATCATAAGAACCTCACTTACTTTAGAGACGTGCAAGATCTTAACAGACGCCAAGCACGCTGGCAAACTTTCCTATCCCAGTTCGACATTCGTTTCAAATTCGTACCCGGTAAAGACCTAACTATCCCCGACGCACTATCCCGTAGACCGGATCACCTTCCTGACGATAATGTCGAAAAGGACAATACTAGTATACAACTTCTTCCTGATTTTATGTTCATTAACTCCGCTTCTCTTTCCGAACAATTACGTATATCTTCCTCCATTGATCCAGTAGTACAAATAGCGCTTGACGCGCTCCAGAATCCCTCCATTCCTCCTCCCCTTCGCTCCGCATTATCAGATTGGAAACTATCTGACGGTATTCTTACGTACAAAGGACTTACTTATGTTCCACCAGGCGACCTTCGCCGCAGCATCACTTCCCTCCATCACGACTCTCCCACCGCCGGCCATCCAGGACGTTACAAAACACAAGAACTTCTATCACGTGACTACTGGTGGCCCGGACTCTCCACGTTCGTCAAAAACTTCGTCGACGGTTGCAGCATCTGCCAACAAAACAAAGTTAATACTCACCCGACGACTCCCCCCCTACAACCTATACCCGCTCCCATATCTAATCGACCCTTCACTCACTGCTCTACCGATCTCATCACCGATCTCCCGCCGTCCAACGGCTACGACAGTATCATGGTCGTGGTAGACCATGGCCTTTCGAAGGGGGTAATTCTCACCCCATGTAACAAAACCATAGACGCTGAAGGCGTAGCAAACATTTTCTTTTCTAAAGTATTCTCCAGATACGGACTTTACGATAAAATTATATCTGACCGCGGACCCCAATTCGCCTCTAGATTCCAGATCGAACTCGGAAAACTCCTCGGATACAAGAACTCCCTTTCCACCGCATTCCACCCTCAGAGCGATGGAGAAACCGAACGAGTTAATCAAGAACTCGAGGTTTACCTCCGTATCTTCTGCGCAAACGACGCAACAGGCTGGGCATCCATGCTCCCTCTCGCTGAATTCGTCCACAACTCCCGTCATCACTCCGCTCGCGGAACATCTCCGTTCTACCTCATGATGGGTTATCATCCCAAACATCTCCCCGACCTTCATCCCAAAAGCGACATCCCTAACGTCGAACAACGCCTCATTATCCTCAATAAAGCACGTGACGAAGCTTTAGCCGCTCATGAACTAGCGCGCAACACCATGAGACAACGAATCACGTCCAAGTTCGTACCGTTTAACAAAGGCGATCGAGTATGGCTCGAATCCAAAAACCTTCATCTGGGCTACCCTAACCGTAAACTCGCACCCAAACGAGAAGGACCATTTACCATCGCCGACGTCCTATCCCCAGTCACCTATCGTCTTAACCTTCCTACCCAATGGCGTATTCATCCCGTTTTCCACGCCGCACTCCTCTCCCCCTATAAAGAAAACGACACTCATGGTCCTAACTTCGTCGCACCACCACCTGACCTCGTAGACGGTGAAGAGGAACAAGAGATAGAGGCTATAGTGGGCCACCGAGGTTCTACCTCACGAAGATACTACAACGTAAAGTGGAAAGGGTTCCCGAGTTCCGAGAACGAATGGATGACAGAGAGACAAATGGGTAACGCTTCCGAAATTCTTTCTTCCTATAAACGCGCACATCATCTTTGATTCTTCTTCGTAGTACTCAGACTTTCACCTAAAACGGGGGTAATGTTACGGTCACCCTTTTTCCCCTAAACCTCGCCACCGTCACATTTCACATCTTCACATTTCACATCTTCACACCTTCATATGCTCACTCTTCTAATACGTGTACTTCTAGGACATTCTATCGTACGATTCTCTTTCTCTTTTTCTCATTGGCTCATTATTATTGAAGCTCCGCTTCTACAATTCATTCGCCGACTCAATACCTTTATATATACCTCATCTCCACCATTTGTACTCTTTAACTTGACCTACGCAGACCAGGGCCTGCAATACTACTGCTTTACTCGTACGACTCTAACACTAGGGTGTTAGCTAGAACTTTCGACTACTTTTGATTACTGCTAAGACGTCTAACGACGCTGAGCGTAACAGCGCACCCTCCATTATCCGCCTCAGCCAAATGCCCCAGACGAGAAGATACTGGGAATCGGAGCTCATACCGAGTGAGTTATTTCGAAGCTATACTGTCGATGCGTAATCTTGACGCTGTTGGGGTGTATTAGTTTTGTGGTGAGTCCGAATGTCTGAACTCCCAATGACTTTTAATCATGGGCAGTGTTTCACGATTCTCTGGCAACAAGCAGGCATCGAGGCGCTCCAAGTTTTGAACTCTCGTGAACAATGGATCAATGTACCGCCACTGCCAGGAACCCTCGTTATCAAGTACGGATATTTTACGTGCTTGCCATATAGTTGTATTCTAACTAACACTCGACTATATATAAGTCTTGGAGATCAGTTTGCGCGTTGGACAAGTGCGTAGACGCCACTGTCTTGTGACGATGTACACAAGATGTTGACCACGTTGTACAGACGATGTTTTCAAGTCTACTGTGCATCGAGCCTCCAACAAGAATATTGTCGATCGGTACTCTATTGCGTTATTCTTTGGCACTGACTACGAGGTTAACATCGAGGCTAGTCATCTAAATTTTGTTTCACTAACTATCTGATGGATCTGATTTGCTTCATTGCAGCCAATCTACACCTGCGTGTCAGCTGAAAACCCAGCAAAATATCCGGCTATCACCGCCGGAGAGTATGTGAGGCAACGATTGAAAGCCATGTATAATAAATCGTAGTTGCTATGTAGGAGCAATATTACGGGTGAACTTCGGTGGATCATACATATGTGCTAGTACCAATATTGAATTTTGAGTATTCGAGTTATCTTATCTGATTTATACGTACGGAACTAATTCATGTGGGGAAACAGCACTTCCCATCATTTCTTCCTTCCGGATCTTCCTCATCGACAATCATGTCTTTAGCAGAGTCGGCGTCCGTCATCAATGGTGCTTTTCAAGACATACCCGTAATGTCTGTTTGCTGGCTAAGTTCACTTGCCAAACACAACTCGCTGACTTCACTGCAGCGATCTTTCTGGTGCAACGAGTCCAGACGAGAGCGAGAGGAAAGCACTTGCCTATCAGATACGCGATGCATGCATGAATGTAGGGTTCTTCTACGGTAAGCCTTCTGTAGACTCGTAGAAACATTTTCTGCGATGTCACGGTCACTTTACATGCACGAGCAGTCAAGAACCACGGGATACCACTAGAATGCGTAGACAATATCCTTAAAGTTAACAAGGAGTATTTCAGCCTTCCAACGGAGGAAAAGCTGAAGGTGTCGACCATGCGAGCTTTCCCCTGTGGTCAGAGTCGTTGACGAATCTTTGTATAGCTTAACCACAAGACCGTCGCCAACTTTAAAGGATACACTCCGCTTCTCGACGCGAACATCGAACCCGGAAACAGAGGGGACCTTCATGAGGCGTTCCAAATTGGCTGGGAGGAGCTCGAGGCAAAGGCACATGATGAGAAGCGAGCAAATGATGGTGCCATGGCAGGCGCCAATGTTTGGCCCGAACGTCCTGAAGAATTTAGAGAAGGCATGTTGAAATACTAGTGCGTGCTTCCGCCTGATGTGTGATATTTTAACTCACAGCTTCGTTAGCCATGCAGCAATAGCGGTGGGAAGGGTACTTTTCCCACTTTTTGCGTTGTCTTTGGACTTGCCAGAGACATATTTTGATGACAAGGTGCGGTGCTAGTATGAACATCATTTGACTTCCATTCAAGTTGAATGCCTCGTAGACGAAGAACTCAGCTGCAATTATGAACACATTACACTACCCTCCACAAACAGGCCCTGCAGACGATCGTATCGTCGGAATCGGTGCTCACACAGAGTGAGCTGTTTGCTGCTGACATTTCTTTCCCGTATTCATTACCTTATGGACATTTAGCTTTGAGGTGCGATAGAATTACCTGAGAACTTTATTTGCCATGATTCGCAACCATTATGCTGCAGTGTTTCACGATACTCTGGCAACAGCCAGGAATACAAGCGCTCCAGGTTCTGAATTCCCAGAAGCAGTGGATCAATGCCCCTCCCATTGACGGAACACTTGTTATCAAGTGAGCACATCTACATTTATTTCGATTCCAATGGCTGATCTTCTTATACAAGCCTGGGTGATCAATTCGCTAGGTGGACCAGTACGTCGTTCGCACAACATAATCAGACTTTATCTTCATCCCAGCATTCTATTTTCAGATGACATTTTCAAGTCTACGGTCCACAGAGCTGTCAACAGGAATGGCATAGACCGATATTCTATTCCCCTATTCTTCGGGACTGATTACGATGTCAACATCGAGGTGCGTGCATGTTTATTTGCTGAAAACATGATTGAGATGTCTGGGTAGCCTATTGCAAGCTGCGTATCTACCGAGCGCCCCGCGAGGTATGGACCAGTAACGGCTGGGGAATATGTCAATCAACGCTTGAAGGAAATGTATTACTAGACGAAACGAAGTTTCGAGCTGTATAACGGAATACCAGAATTTCCTCGTTTATTGAACTAAACTTGAGTTGCTTTATTCAAAACTCATCGCCAGTGTCATTATGGACTATCGAGCTGTCTGTCGCTTGGGACGATCATAAATATTTGAACTTTGCCCTCGGCGATGCCCAATTTGTGGCATGTGCCCAAGTAAGTTGTTTCTCCTGACGAGTGTTCAGCTGACAGTACCATCGTGTCGCCTGCGATCGGCGCCCCCCGGGGTTGACAACGTTTTCCCGCCAAATTGTGTGACCTGCTGAGTCCCGACTTCTGGGGGATTGCAGGCGGCAGTGACGACAGTACCACGTACGCGGCCGCGCTTCAAACGTCATGCATTCATGAAACGAAAGACTACTAAACTTGTGCTTAGTGGTGCAAAAACTATCTGACCGACGTCCGGTCTATCCGACCATAAGAACGATATGATGGTAATACCAGTATCAATTTCTCAAATTCGTTTGTGAGGTGCAGGCACGGCCACGTTGACTGACTCCTAACTCTGTAATTAAGTTCTTTCTTCGTCTGGAACCACGACAATGGCGAACATTAGGTTCTTGTCGCTTCCCACAGAGCTGATATGTCACATTGCTCCTTGCCCCAAGGGACCTTTGTCGCGGTGCAACACCAGTTCGTAGTATTTCCCGACAAAATTTTATATTTCCTCCTGGTCTAACTTACATCTGGTTCACGCTAGACCTGCAAAACCTTATGGGGTGTGGCACGTAATTCTGTCCAAATTCAGTACAAGCTCGAGCTCTATGCTCAGGGTTTTACTGAGACCGCTACCTTGGACTCCATCGATGTTTCCGGAAAGATTGCCTCGCTCAAGAAATTGACATCCACGTGGCAGTCTAATTTCCATGTGCACACTGTCTTTCAAGAAGCAGTGGCCGCTGCTGCGGCAACCCCAGGATCACAACACTTCAAGTGTGGGCTTTGGTGGGTGTCGCGGGTGTCCCGGGGCAATCTTTTCATTCGGGAGTTAAATACACATCCCAAGCTCTCTCGGACGTGGCCCACAGCTTGTCCCCTACTAGGCCGCAGAACAGGTTGGCGCCATTTGTCGTCGACCCTTTACAGGATCTTGTGGTCGTAGTCTTCTCGGAGTATCATTGGGCCGGAGTCGGTGTTGGGAACGACCGAGATCACCATATCTTTTGGGTGGAGTTGCGCATGCTTTCGTCCCAGGGTCCACATCCGGATTCGGCGTGCGCCTTCTTGGACTGCAAACATACTTTTGATCATCCACATGACCCACCCTATTATGTGTACGTGAAAGACCCTGCAATCTGTGGGAATCGTATAGTCGTCCCCTATTGCTGTTGCCATTACCATCACGCATCCGATTACTTCATACAAGTGATTGATTGGAGGGAGGGATGGGCAAAGAGTGTAAATTCCATCTTCTCTTCAAGTTGAACGCTGCCACTCAGTATGTGTAAGCAGTATCCCTTAGGTCCGCGCGATTATGCAGAATCACAAACATTCCGAATCTAGTTAACGAGCGGACGATTGTGGTCATCAGCTCATAATCTTGTACACATCACAAGAATGTGATAGCTCGCCTCGTCGCCGAATTACGTATCTTCTTCCAAAATACTTGACTACGTTCTTCATGCCACTCCATCGTTCCACGGCGCAGCGGCTCGCCCAGACCTTATTCCCGGCCACATACCATGTATGGAGTCACAAACCATGGTTCTAGAGATGCGCTCTGGCATACTATCGCCCGTTGTCTTCGTCATCGATATGGTCATTTTTTCAGAAAAGTGCTTGCACTCAGAGATGCCCATCGAGATCCCTTGGTTAGACTAGGGACCCAGACATACGTGCTGCTTCCCGCATGATCCGAGCTACCAAATCAGTGTGTTCGGTAGCAAAATGGCCTATGCTCTTCCTCGACGTCGTACCCCTGCGCATGGACATAGTAGACTCTGGTCACTCTACTATGATTCTCGCTTCTACGTGCATATCTGGGACTTCAATCAACGAGTTGTTGCCCGTTCAAAACATATTCATGACCCCGGATCACCAGACCTTCTCATTTGCAGGCCTGGTCGGATGGTTGAGTCGTGTTACGATAGTGAAATGATTTCGAATGATCTTTACTCTGCTACCGTCTGCCACGCGTCTTTTCCGACGCGCGACTTTCACAAATTATTCTTGGAGCAGGATCGGCTTACTCTAACATGGGTAAGGTGTTCTTAGTTATGACTCGGAATACAGTGATGTCTGACGTGGTTGAAATTGTAGGTTCGACCTGGCACAGTTGATATTCAGGTTGTTTCCCCTGTACAGAAGAAGGCTTTCAGCCGTCGACTCAGAGACTATATTCGACACATGGGCATGAACTGGTGTGAGTCAGGGGTAGTGCTGCCGTGGTCCGGTTCCGTTCGGTTCAGAGGTGGTTGGACGAGAACCAAGAACCGGACCAAGGTTCGGTTCTAGGTATTTCAATGAACCTTAGACCGAACCTTTGCGAACGGTTCGCAGCGGTCAGGTTCGGTTTTTTCTCGGTCTGAACGCGAACCGAACGCGAAAAAATTACAGCCAGGAAAAAAAAACATAGGCAAGATATTTGTACTCGTAGTTACATGTCCAATGAAGCCGCATGTCCCTCAGCCTCTACTTCTGCAGAAAGGTGCCCATTCCTATATGCTCCCTTCAGTAGTTGTAGTGCAGTGAACGTGTCAGTCGCGAGTGCATTGCGTCGGATAGTCGAAGTGATTCCTCCGCTTGAGAATGCTTGTTCGGAAGGAACGGCGCTGCCTTGAATGGGTAGATAGTCTCGCGCGATGCGCGCGAGTGTAGGGTATTGCAGCGAGTGAAGCTATTAAGTAGATTTAGCTAGTAGCGAAAAAACAAGTCAAAAAGAAAACTTACCCCCCACCAGGCCACAATGTCATCAGTCTCCTCTAGTGGCGAAGACAAGTACATGTTGAGCTCTTGACGAGGATTGTGAGTAAGGTGGTCTGATGTCTTGCGCGTCCTAATAGCCTCGCGCATCCAATCGTGGAAATGGGGACGGCATCATCAGGATCGTTGTAAAAAACGATGTCTTTGGCATCCTTTAGAGACCCGTCTGGGTTGAGGGCACACTGTGCTTCAGGTTCAGACATTGTACCGGTAGTCGAAATATATCACTCACCTTGCTCCCTTTATATGTGAATACCCAATCTCCTACTAACTCGTAGTATGCATTGACAGATCCTAAAAAAATATATCAATATATCAGATCAATCAGTTTATTGCGCTTGATTTGATGGAAAAGTCGTACCTCGAGCTTGATTGGACAGGTAGGCTTTATCGGACAGCAGGGTGTGCGGGATGCGAACCTCCGGACAGGATAAGTCGAAAAAAGTCTTGAGAATGCCAAAGGTCAAAGTGACCATGGCGAATCTTGAGGATCGAGAAGTCAAAATGACCATAAGCGTGTGCTTGAGCCTTGAAGGCGTTGCAAGGAAGATTCGGTTCCGGGTTCGGAACGGTTCGGGAAGGTCCGAACCTATAGATGAACCGCACAGGAGTTAGCGGACCACGAACCTCGTTCCGGTTCGGTCCGTGCAAAATGCTGGACCATGGACCGAACCAAGGACGAACCTGACCAATGGTCAGGTTCGAACCACGGTTCGGGACTGGACCACGGCAGCACTAGTCAGGGGTGTAACTATGAGCGGAAAATCCATAGAGAAAGCATACTTTCAGTTGAGCACTGACTGATCATCGATGTGGATGTAGTATTCTCCCCTACAGAGCTGATTATCATCATGGACCCGCGACAACTACCCGCACCATCTACAGGACTTGGGCACTTAGTACTTTATATCGGCCCGTCGATGCCCAAACTCAGCTGTGGATCGCCAGGCTAGATTCCATCCTTCCTATGATATGTGATACGTCGCCATCGAGACCTTCGCAATGCCGTGGCTCTTCGGTGTCGGATAGTATGGTGCTTGTTTGATGAGGTTTGAAGGGATGTTGTTATAGATATGTAAGTCTGGAGTTTGAGGCATGAATTGTCGTTGACGAACGAAGATAATTGCCATTATAGAAGCCGTCGTCGAGTTGAACGCATTAGTAATTGGTGCTCACTGCTTGCCATGCACAGGTATGACAATGCGTGTCCCATTAAGTAGACGTTTTTGAGGTGTGGAAGTGGTGGCATGCGTGCTGTAGTGAAATCTTTGGTCCATGGTATTCTAGTGGGTTCTCCTAATCGCAATGCACAACAGCTTGGAACGGTGATGACGAAAATGATTGCATTGGTATACATCTGAATTCCTCTAATAACCTTCTAATCCTCCTCAACACCCTCTTCCTCCTCCGAAATAAGCCTCTCCGCCTCAAGCGCAGCCATACACCCACTGCCCGCACTAGTAATAGCCTGCCTATACCTCTTATCCTGCACATCACCAGCAGCAAACACGCCCTTCACGCTCGTCTGCGTCGTTCCAGGGACAGTGATGATATACCCATCAGTGTCTGTTTGAAGTTGGGATCGGATGAGAGCTGTGGCTGGTTCGTGACCGATTGCGTAGAAGAGCCCGCGGACGGGGAGGTCGCGCTCTTCGTTTGTGGATACGTTCTTGATGCGGAGGTTGTTGAGGAGGTCGCCGTCGCCTTGGCATTCGGTTGCTACGGTGTTCCAGAGGATGGTCTGTGGAAGTGTGTGAGTGAGGTGGTGAGAAGGGAAGGGAGGGGGAACGTACGATCTTGGGGTTGTTCATGAGACGCTTAGCCATGATTTTGGAAGCGCGGAGTTCGCTACGGCGGACGAGGACGTAGACGTGGGAGCCGTACTTTGTCAGATCTGTAGAGTGTGATTGTCGTTTCTGTATGATAGTGAGGGGAAACTGAGGTCTTACAGGTAGCTTCTTCCGCTGCAGAGTCACCACCTCCAATAACAGCCAATGGTTGATTCCTGAAGATAGGGACAGCACCATCGCAGACTGCGCATGCGCTGATGCCGCTTTGCCAGTACGTGACCTCGCCTTTGAGTCCCAGCCTCTTGGCACTCGCACCGGTTGCGATGATAATGGTATCGGCTGTTTCAGGTTCCTCGTGTTCCTGGCTCTCTCGCCAGTAACGGAAGGGGCGTGCTGAAAGATCGATCTTGGACACGGTCTCTGTGATGATTTGCGTACCGAAACGGATGGACTGTTCGCGGAATTTGTCCATGAGTTCGGGACCAAGTATGCCGGATGGGAAACCGGGGTAGTTCTCGACTGTGGTGAGAGAAGAGATATGGTGAAGACAGGGTGGGATGAGGCGTGTACGTACCATCTGTAGTCGTGGTAAGCTGACCACCAGCAGCGAAACCGTTTGCCATGAAGCCCTCAAAGAGGACGGGGTTGAGGTTCGCGCGTGCTAGGTAGACAGCGGCGGTGTGTCCTGCTGGACCTGAACCGATGATGACCTGTACATGGGTCAGTGTCGGGAACGATGATAGAGAAATGGATGATACGAACGACTTTTGAATGCATCGTTGTGCTCTTTGTGACTTTTGCGTTTGTAAGTGGGGCCATTTTTGAGTAGGTACGATCTGGAAGGGAGGTGGATGCGGCTGCTAGAGGAAGTGCCCGTAGGCCTTTCAGGAAGTGAAATCGAGAAGACAGCGTGTTACAAGTTCAAGGGAGATTTCGCGTACTAAGTACCCAGTCACGCGTTAATTTTATCAGGATTACTAACCCAGCTGATCTTATCTGATTTCCCTCTCACGGACCACGTTAATCACCGGCGCACTCGGGCCAAAGCATACACTGCGTGTTGTCTAAAATTTCCGCTGGAGGAAACGTGACGGAAAAATAATCTGAACCTTATGTTTCCGCCAAATTTCCGCCACTGTTTTCCTCCGGCGGAGAGATGGCTGTTTTTCTGCTTTTCCGCCAGCTCACCGACACATCAGTAAATTCGCACAATGCTTAATGTGCTTTTTCGTCACTTGTCACGAAAATCTTTGACATGCCGCTGATTAGTTGTGCTTAGTCACTTGTCACTATTTTTTTACAAGTGCTTACAAGTGCAGTCAAGCAGTTAATTAGTGAAAGCGAGAAAAGTGAAAGTACATTGTATACAATTGAATTAAGTAGTTACAAATGAGAAATAATACTAAGTTCCGTATCGTCTGGTTGTGCAATGGGAGCTCGCTATTGTTGTATTCGTTGTAGTGTATGATGACAACATCTTCTCATTTGTGTCGTCTGGTTGTGCAATAGGAGTGTCGGCCGTTTCTTCATCCTCGCCATTGTTGTATTCGTTGTAGCGCATGATGACGTCACCCGTCATATCGTCTGGTTGTGCAATGGGAGCATCGGCCATTAGTAGTCTTTGTCTTTGTCTCCATCTCCTTGAAGTTTGGTGATCACGATGTGATCTCGAAGGCATGGTGATAAGCAAATTTATTAACATAGAATGAGCGAAAAGCATCATAAGAATGAAAATACTCAATGTTGTCAGTGATGAAGTCGGGACCATAGACAGGGATTAAGTGTGCTGCACGGTAAACTGTGTCAATATGGATGACAGCGAAGTTTGGGGTGCCGTTGTCATGAACACTTGGATGGACTATCCACATGCCAGTATCCTCGTCCACACAGTCACCGACCTTGTCGAACCACTGAACAAGGGCACATGGATATATGACCCAATTAAACTTGAAAGAATTTTTTTTTTGACTCTTGCGACTTCGAGCCCTTTCATCCCTTCAAGGTCTGGATTGGCATTGACAAACACACAATCATTACGGGAGAGACGTTCCACCAGAGTGGACAAGCTCGGATCTGTTCACGTCGCATGCTGCCGATGCCACTGGTATCGCTTGGGGCATAAAATGTCATGGCTGCAGAATTAAAGACATAAAGTCCACCTTCTGTTAGGTACCGTGCCGGCTCAAGAGGCAGAGGGGTCAGGGGCTTGGCTTCAGCTCTTGCGCTGTGCCCTTAGCCGAGTACGTGCCCCGAATTTGGAGCGGGTCTGACATTGTCCGATGATAGGACAAGTGGACCGCTTTGGTCCGCTTTGAGGGTCGGGAAGTAAGAGCTACTAGCAGTGGGCCGACTAGGAGTGGAGCGGAGAAGGCGGGGAGTGATGCAAAGGGTGGATAGGAATAGGGGGAAGGTTTGGTAGGAGCGGGGAAGGCGGAGGACTAAGGGGGACACTTAGAGCACAGCTCTAAGTCGGAGCGGAGGGTTGGAGAGTTGGAGGTGACAACAAGTTGAGACTTGTGTCCAGAGGAGGCAAGGTCCTACTGAGAATTCTCACAAGAGGTAACTGCGAGAAGACAAGTAATATTAAGACTGAGGAAAATATCTAAGTACATGATATGTTATATACTTCTATGTATGAGGCAGTGACCAGGATAACTATGTTGTAAAGCTATGTACCAAGGATATAATTTTTAAGTACTTTACACAGGTGAAGACATAAGTCGGAGTGGATATCAGTATGTACAGGTCGGATCAGTGATCGGGCGGTAATAGGAATTACCGGTGATCCGGAAGTAAGGGTCTATGTACTGAAGGGGAAAGTATATATCTAAAAGGGGAAAGAGGTTCCAGTTGAATGGAGACATTATGGAAGGGGACCAGTTGGGCAGTTGAGCGGAGGCATAGGAGTGGAATGCGGACTTGTGATTGGACGGAATGGAGGATGGATGGAGTGGAGGGGGTCGGAAAGTGGAGCGGATATTGATATTAGCGCGGTCAGATCAGGTATATGACAATGGCCCATTTTAGTATGCATATTGAAGAATTCACAAAGAAGACATTTGACCATAAGAGATGTCATCTGCAGTAAGCATTTCAGAGAATTTATTTGCAATGACTGCTTGACATCTCCCTTAGCTGCCTCACATATATCATTAACCTCGCAACACAGGCATTGCTCACAGCTCACAGCAAGTCCGAACATTTCAATCCAACAAAGCCTGACATGAACCTGGTTATTTTATGTGGAATGCAGCGCGATGAGGTTGGATTAGTTTGTGCTATGTGTTAAGGTTTGGGTTTATATTCCTTTTCTTACTTCATGACTGACCAAAGGTTTGCTTATTAGGAATGCTCTTTGGCCCAGCGTAAAGAGCTTTTCCAGAATATTCAGCTGCATGATGAAGATGGTCACATACCTAGCAAGGGGTCCAGGCAGCAATTAATGGATATGAAAGGTCAACTTATGTAATGCTTGAACGAGCAGAGAAACTCAAGGATATATGTTGATCATTGGTCCTAATGTTAGAGACTGTGCTCGGACAGAGAAGCGGAGGGGTCGGGGCTTGGCTTCAGCTCTTGCACTGTGCCCTTAGCCGAGTACATGCCCCAAATTTGGAGTGGGTCTGACAATAGGATGGGCAGATCGCTTTGGTCTGCTTGGTGGGTCGGGAGGTAAGTGCTACTAGTAGTAATCCGACTAGGAGCGGAGCAGGGAAGGTGGAGGAAGTTTATTGGGATGGAGGGGAGTAAGGGGTTTGATCAATGGGGTTGGAGAGGTAAGAGTAAGTACTTAGAGCACAGCTCTAAGTCAGAGCAGAGAGTTGGAGGTGACAACAAGGTAAACTTGTGTCCAGAGAGGGAGCAAAGTCCTATGGAGAATTCCCACTAGTAGAGACAGTGGGAAGACAAGTAATATTAAGACTGGGGAGTAGCTAAGTACAGGATATGTTTTTATATACTTCTATGTAGGAGGCAGTGACTAGTTAGTCCTTGGTATGAGGCTATGTACCAAGCATAATTTGTAAGTAGACAAAGATGAAAAACATAAGTCAGGGTGGATATCAATATGTATGTGTCGGATCAGTTAGTCAAGCAGTTATAGAAAGTACCGGTGATCCAGGAAGTAAGTGCTATGTGTGAATGGGGAAAGTATATACCTAAATGGGGAAGGAGTTTACAGAAGAATGGAAATGATGTGGAAGGTAATGGACAAGGTGGTCAAGCAGAACCATAGGAGCCAATGTGGGAGCCAACTGGGTCAGATGGAGGGCGGACGGAGCGGAGGTGGTAGGTGAGCAGGGGAAGTATGAGGTCGGGCAGAGCGGATATTAATATTGTCGGAGCAGTCGGATCAAGTATATGACACCTAACCTTTCTGCTATCTGATGTGCATTTCTTTCTGACAGGATGTAGACTACTTTGTTGGCTGGATGGGACTTCTTGAGAAGGACCCACACAAGTGCAAGAAGATCACTGATATCAAGCTTATGGCATCTGAATGGAACTGAGTCAAGCTTTTACTTGACCTGCTAAGTGTGAGTGCTTCACTGTAGTACTAGACCCATATAGTGATTGAAAGTCCGGTCTGGTCCGGTTTTTTACCATATTTGGATGCAACTGGTCTTTTTATTTCAAGAAATCAAAAAACTGGACTGGACCGCTAAAAACCGGTTGCAACCGCTCCTACCCACTGACTGGTTGCGCTAGGAATGTAGAGCTTGATCACCCGATAATTTCCATGTCTTATACATCCCAAGCTAATGAAAATTGAGTGAGTTATGAGCATTACAAAATCATGCCCCCCAACCAACTCAGACCAAGGTCGGTAAAATATGAAACTTTCAAAAAAGTCATTTTTATGCTTGCAAGTGTCAATAAAAGTTGTAGTACTAGTGTATAGTAGGTAATAGTAGGTCATATCATGTCATAATATTACCATTTGGTTAAGATATAAGCCTTTTGATACATTGTTAAGTAAGTTAGGCAGCATTTTCTTGTAATAATCATATCTCCCTCAGTTTTTATCTGTTTGAGACATATAAGAGACCGAAATTATCGCCCAATCAAGCTCTACATTCCTAGGGCAACCGGTTTTTAGCGGTCCGGTCCATATTTTCCAATGGAGGCAACTGCAACCTGTGCCTGGTTGCAACCTGCCAAAAGTCCAGTCCAGTTGTGGTCTTTTTCGGGTTGCGCAACTGGACTTTCAAACACTAGACCCATACCTGTACTTACATGCAATTAGCATGCTGATAATGCTCAGCAGGCATTCTTGACTGACCAAGGCCCCACACTCCATCTAGCATTGCCTGCTTTGGAAGCACTGTGGAAGGCATGGTCCACTCATCACAGCCATGATAGGTATGCCAACTTTCAAGATGGACTGGCTGGGGGAGTGGCAAAAAATTCTGGGTACTATGAAAAGTCCGCTGACTCTGATGCATACATCATCACAATGTGTATGTGATACATTGTATAAGGCTGATTTTGCTCAACTAGAAACCTGCAGTGCTCAATCCTCTTCAAAGGCGAATCACATTCATCGGTATTGGGGCAAACACCTGTATCATGATGCTCTTGCTCATGCAGAAGAGATAGTAGGTCTTTCATAACATTTGCTTTATCACATCTCATATCCTATTAGTACAAAGAGTATTATCAAGAGATGTACAGTTATGAATGCCTCATTGAACCACAACATTGAAATTTGACCTCTCGAGCCACAACAACTACATAAATTTATTTCAAAATAATTTTGCCCCATACATAGACCTCTGGTTGAGGTCTTCATACATTTTGAAGAAAAAAAAGTGAGCTGTTTGAGCACAGCATCAACAACAGTGAATGGGTGCCTAATTTGCTGAGTATGGCTCAATGAATCAGCCTCAATTAGGTAAGAAAAGCTTACTGGACTTGGACCCTGGCCTATGTAAGGCTGGTACTTAGTTCGAAGGGAGAATGACGAAGGAATAGTGTAGTTTAGTAGTTGTGATGTATAGACAGCACGAAGGGAAGAATACAAATCGTTTTGTGAGTGATGCGAAGGTGTTCGGTCGAGAATGGAGCGGGAGTCAGCCAGTGTGATTCGCTATCCATATCGAGTGTACAGGCATAGTATATATATATTCGAGCGAGTCGTACTAATCCAGAACGAGTGTATGTAGCATGTGGAACAGTGAAAATAGTTCGGTGAGACAAGGGGATGGTGAGGAGTGAGCACAAGGTATGATAACGAGAGAATGTAAAGGGGAAGTAAAGGAATGTATCCACATGACTCGGATGTGAAGAGTAACGCTCTTCGCATCAGTGAGTCACGTAGACGGCTCTGACGAATGTTCGAGCATCTTGTTTTAATAGCATGGTCAGGGCGTAAAGGACATCAAGTCCTTACATCCCCTCCCCACTTTCGAATGTCGACCGTCCCGGTCGACATTCCAACGAATAAACTAAAAGAAAAATTGTACTGTATGATAGAGATAGAGATTAGGTAGAGAGGGATAAACAACGCATCTAGTTTTGTTCATTGTTGATACCTGCAAGGGCTTGAGGGTTGATAAACTGCATGACTTCAAGTGAGGTGGGGGAGCGCAGGTGATAAGGGATAATTCGGAAAGCTGCAAACTTTAGTTTGGAGACGGAGCCATCGACTTCTGCGAGGCGATAGGAGCCGCCTGCAGAGCGTGAGACCACGATCATTGGACCAAAATATCGTGGCTTGCACTTAGCATTTGCAGCTGCCTCGATCTTCTTGTTGAGGACTAGTACTAGATCTCCGGGCTTGAATGCATAATCATGGATGGTGTTGGCAAAGCGACACTTGAAGTCCTTGATTGATGTGAGACGGCTGTTAAGAAGCCGGTTGTGAGTGAGTGTGAGATCTTCGTCTCGCTTAGCAAGTTGAAGGGCCCAGGCGGCAATTAGGTCGTTAGTTGAGAGAAGGGATGTGACATCAGGGAAGGTGAAGGTAGCGTTGACAAAATCAAATGGAAGTAA